AACGATATCTGTTGTACATGAACATGATGAAAAATGGACGGATTTATCAAATCTTCATCACATATCACTTTCCTTGCACGCAATTTGTTGTCCCACTAAAGAGTAGGACGTTCCAAAATTTTACTTCTATATGCTGTGAAATAATAAATAAGGTTTGTATGACTTGATTGTATATATGTTGTATACTTTGAAATTCATTCTGTAAATTTCTACATAAATGATTTTAGTTAAGAAACATTTATTTTAATCTTATTCATTTATAAAATAAATTATTGCAATTTTTATCAGATACTTAAAAAAATTTTTCAATTTGTATATTTCGATTGTGTGTATTGAAGACAATAAATAAGATTGTATTATTCTCCCTTAAGTGGTTTATACTATTAATTTATGATATCCTTAATGAATTACAGTACATTTTAACAACATTACAGTACATTACAAAATACCGATACATTATATAACATTCCTCAAAAATTGTTTATCATTTTTTAAATTCATTTATTATTCTGTCGCATACGATCGATGATTCATTGATGATTAGCTGTCACATCAATATGCTGTATCTTTGGCATATTACTACTATTGTTTCCTGTAATATATAAAGCGATAAAAAAATGCATAATTGGTTTTTAAAAAATAAATAGAATTTTGATAAAGAGAGAGAGAGAGGGAGAGAGAGAGAGAGAGTGAGTGAGGAAAAAAACGATTCAAATAGATTTGAAATTTTGAGGAAAAGAAAGAATAAACAAAAAATGATTGTTACCAGATGAATTGACTGATGATATTCCTTTCATCACTGATATTGGATGATAATTTCCCATATTTTTCTTCTCTTTCACTTTTTCATCTTTTTTCAACATCTCTCTATATATAGCAAAAATTTATAAAAAATATGAAATATTCTCTTTAATATCAAAATTAAAATTTTTACATACCTATCTCTCATCCACTGAAATATTATTTTGAGATGAAATAATAATAAATCCACTATCGATATAAATTTTTAAATTAAAAAGTTTTAGAAGAGGAGAAACAGAGAGAGAGGGAAAGAGAGGGAGGGAGAGAGAAAGAGGGAGAGAGAAGGTAAAATTACCTAGCTTTTTTTCTCAACAATTCTTGCGCATCTGGATAATCTTTAATCACATCATTCAAATCTTCTTTTGAAAGAACAAATAACGTTGAATAGCCTTTGGAACGAATATTTGCAGTCCGACGATTATTACCATCAATTGCTAATAAACTAAAGAATCTTTTAATAACAAGAAATATTGAAAAAGAATTTTTTAATTAATTAAATAATGCAATTAATTAATGCAATTAATTAACGCTAAAATAAACTTCGGAAAAATAAAATGGAAACTTTTATAATTAAAAGAATGGAATTAAATTATTTAATAATAAACTTATATTATAAAAGAGTTTTAAAAAATTTGATTAGAAGGAAAAACAAAATTAAGCAACCTAATTTCACCAAAAACTGATCCTTCAGTAAGTTCAGCAAAAACTTTGGTACTTTCTTCACAATCAACAACTTGAAGAATACCATCGTTGACAATATACATTTCCTTACCAACATCTCCCTAAAATATTATTATATTCATAAACGTATCACGGTGAGCATTTCTTTACTGAATAGTTTAATTTTAAAATTTTACTTAAAGTTCAATAAAAAAGTTTATTATTTTTCCACTCATATTTCAGTGCATTTTAGAATGATAACATTTATTGACGAATTTTATTTATCATGTCATTAATATTAAGAAAAAGTTACTTTCTTACAAATCATATCACCAGGACGAAAGATTACTGGTCGAAGTTTAAGTACTAATTCGCGAAGTAAAGCTCGATCACAATCCTTTAAAAATCTTTCACAAAAATTATATTTTATCAAAGAATTTATTATACGAATAAATTTAAAGATAATTATTTAAAAATGATAAATGTTTTGTTTTTCCTCACCAAAAATTAATTCCTTATGTTTTATTTTGATTTTCTAAAATTATTATTTAATGATAAATTAAATAAATTAAAATTTGAAAAAATTGAAATACCTGGAATAGTTGTACCTTACTGAGTGTATTATAATGAACTGCAAGTGCTAAATCAGTTTGTAATTTCAGCGGTAATTTTTCGATTAATTTTTTCTCATCTGAAATAAGCAATAAAGCATTTAAATTTTTTTGACGATATTATTGAAGAAAAAGAAAGAATCGAATTTATATGATTTGGTAGAAATTAGTATTAATTATTATAAATAATAATTTAAAGATTACGTGATACAAAAGTAAACCTAAATTTACAGCATTTATTTATTAACAAACCTAAAGTTTTCTGTTTTTGCCAGGTATATATAAGCCAATCACGAACACGATTAATAGTATCTTTGGATAGGCCAAGTCGTTTACATTCGCTTAAAACTTGATCCACAGATTTACGATATTGCTCACGATTACGATTTGCATTTGAAACGATATCTCGGATCTAAAAAAATTAATTCAACTATAAAATATATTGTATGAAATTTATGCTTTTATGAGTAATTTTGGAATTCAAATATATATATATATATATATTTGATAAATGATAGAATAATTTATTGTTTCAATCAAATGATAATTAATTTGATATTCGAACAATTATTTCCTTCTAAACTATTAAAGTTTAAATTTCTGCAAACTTTTTTTCTTTAAACTTTTAAATTTATATAAGGCAACTTATTTGTCCAAGTAGTAAAGCGAAAACAAAAACACCCATCATCCATGAAAATGTCATGTAAATATATTCAACAACATTTGTTGGTGCCGGATTACCACCAGCTGATGTTGCTACTGTTGTTGTAAAATAAAAACAGCGAATGTACGCATTTCCTGAAAAAATTAAAATATTCATATTACTGCAGTATCAATACCCTTGTATCTACGCTTACCTGTATCATCGTGGAATTTTCCTATTCAGTTATAATTTTCAGGTTATTTATTTTTGCTGTTTATTTAAAAACTTCACTATGATTATTTTGCATTATCAAAAATATTCAGGTAATAAGCGATTATCACAATAAAGCTTATCAGGTCATCAAATGCTTTGATTACCTTGATTATTGTAAACCCATTTATTAAGATACCATTTATTATTCATTCTATAAGCAATTTGTCCAAATGCTTGCCAAGCACTTAACTTGTAATACACACAGCTATTACAGTGAATTAAATAAATCATATATGCAAGAGTTTTTGTTATCCTGCAAAATAATCAATAATCCATTCCGGAAAATTCTCAAAAATTCATTCCGGAAAAATTTCAAAAAAAATTCATATAATTTCAAAATTTTATTTAATTGAACATTTCTTTTTTTTATTCTAAATAATATCAATATAATAATTTATAAGTTTACCGAATTATATATGGATTTAAAACTGAATTATCCAAAAGACCGAACAGTTGCCAAAATGATATAAGCTGAAAAATAATTAAATAAAAAATGTTTCAGTTAAAATATGTGATTATATAAGCGTTCAAAAGATAATATATCACTCAATTAATTTAATATACCGTAATATTATATATCATAATTATATCAATTAATTTAATATATTATGATAATATATCACTTAATCAATTTAATATAGCATGACAATATATCACTTAATCAATTAATTTTATAAATCTTTGTAAAATTTAAAAACAATAATACCTTACACATACGTACAGCACGCCAAGCAGCAATTGGTCCTGTCCAGATGTATAATATATCGAATGGTATTAGTGAAATTAAATCAAGTTTGAAATCATTACTTTGTACATAATGTTTTGCTGTTTCTTTTATGTCTTTCTAAGTGAAAAATTCTTTTAATTATTTGATTAATTACAAATAAAATTAACTAAAATTTAATGAATGAATCGATTTGATTAGTAAATAAAATTACAAAAACAAATAAGACAATACAGTAATGAGCGAAGAAATAATTAATCAAAACAAATAAACAATTAAATAAATATTTAAGTAAATAAAATATTAACTCAAATAAATTTGAATAATATTTTTATATGTAATATTAAAATTTTGATTCATATGTTTATATTTGATTTCAAACTTTATTTACTTAAAATTTATATTTGATTTCAAAATTTGTTTACTTACTTTATTGTCTTTTATCATTTATATCTTTTATCATTTTATCTTTTATCTTTTATCATTTTATCATTTATATTATATGTATTTTTTATTCGTATAATTTCTCTTTACCATTGTTTTTGTTTCTTTTCCAATCTTTATATAATGAAGAAGTAAATTATAGATAAAACTTTTGTGCTAATGTTTATTAAATAAATTATTTACCACAGGAAGTCCGCCACGCATAAAACGTAGCCTTGGCTTAATTAATAACATATCAATTAAATATATAGCATCAGCGAAGTAATCAGCAATAAGCCAATAAATTAGATTAGATTTTGTTTGATAAGGATAGGAAATGCGTAATGGAATACCAAAGGCATTGTATAAAAATGCTATCACCACTATCGTTAACCAAATTAGATATTCTCGATCTGAAATTGTAAATTTTATTTATTACAAATAATGATAACAGATCAATGCAATAAATTTGAAGCCAAAAATGATAAGGTGAAAATGTGAAGAAGTTTTAAAAGGTATGAAAAATCTCAAATAGTTACTTACATGATAATTTAAGCTGCAAATAATTAGCATTGATAATTATAACTTATGCATTATATTTACTAATTTCAATCAATGAAATTTTAAATTCTATTATTCGTTATGCAAAAATTGTTGGAGGTGAAAGAAAAAAACAATTGATAACTTCAAAAATGTGGTACCGAAAACACTGTAGCAATACTTCCTTCAATCAATTTTACTCACCAGAAAATTGAAATTGGATTTATTGGGACGATTAAAGAGAGTATAATTAAACTTATTATAATTAGTAAATAAAATATTGGTAAACAAACGTAATGGATTGATAGATGATAGAAAGATTAGCCGTAAAAAATTTTTGGATTTGTTTGTATTATCATCAATTGCAGGTGATATTGTTCGCTAAAAAAATAGGAAAGTTTTCTATAATATTAGAATTTCAAAAATTGGAAATATTTTTATTTATTCTATTTATGTTATTCATTTCTTATTTCTTTAATATTTTGAAAGCAAAAAGAAATCAGTTAATTTTTAACCTAAAATTTTTGTTAGACTTTAAAATGTCTGAAGAACAAACCTGAAGTCCAATCAATGACATTAGACTTGGACGATGTTCTTTTCGAGTCATTTCAACATTTTCTAAGCATTTCGCTTCATCATCACATTCTCTTATCATTTCATCAACAATCTATTTAGTATAAGTAGTTTTACACTTTAGAATCATATCAGAAAAACTATATCAGCATAATTTTCAAACGTTATTGCGAGAAAAATGCGATCGCTAATTCATTTCTTACTGATGTGACAAATAACTTTAAACATTAATCAATAATGAACATTTTGTAATAATTAATCGTAAGAAATAGAAAACTTCTCTAATATGAAAATAAATTTCTGTATAAAATTTTAGATCAAATTTTTGAATTCATTTTCTTAATGACATTTTAAATTTACTACAAAAATTATATATCAGAAACCTCAAAAAAAAATAACTCTTAATTTATTTTAATTACATTACCTGTGAATTACGACATCGCATATTATCGGTCAAAGCATGAAGTTTTTCTTTCATGATAAATGATAACCTTGACTTATCATCATCATCATTACCAATATCTTTTTTTATCATTTCATTCATTTGCATGTCATCCTGGCAACTATTTGATGCAGATGGATATCTTCCAATGCCCACTTCTCTATCAGTTTCTTCAACCTTCACTTTTACCTCAGATTGTATGCCAGAAATGCTTTCTTCCAACGATAATCTTTCTTTTTCGATCGAATTAGAAATATCCTTCTTGTTTATAATTGAGCCTTCATTCTCGTCCATCACTTGCATTTCCCTGTGGATAAAAGAACTGAATTTAATAATTAAAATTTAATATGCCATATTTGATAACAAAAAATATCATAGATCACTTCACCTTAGTTTCACTATCAATTAAAATTTTTGAAAATTATATCGGTGTATATTAAAATTTCAAAATCTTTAAAACTTTCAACAACTGATGCAATTTGATGTCTAAGACATTGAGAAAATATAAACTATTTTAACTGTCAATTAAAAATTAAATAAAATAAAACTCATACATTATCTGATATGGATCATGTAATATTTGTTCTTTGCAACTTTTAAAGTGATCCATTTGACAACGATTCTGAAATTCACAACAATTAAACTAATTGAAGAGAAAAAATTCATTTGAATTTATTCGTTGAAAAATCAAATCAGATTTTAATAATGGATTATCTAAAACAAGAAATAGAATATTTTAGAATTAGATATTTAATTTTATTCTTTTGAACCTTTCTTTAGAAATTTTGTAAAGAAAGAAATTTAATGTTATCTGTCCAGTACTTCGATGTTTATTTTATAATTACAAAGTTTCACTTAAAACTTTGCTCTATGAATCAAATAAGTTATAACTTATAAAATTTCCAGTGAAAGGTTTAAAAGAGTGAAATATGAACTGCTGATTAATTTGATTGACTTTTAAGTAGGACTAAAGTTGAATGCTGATACTGAGTAAATTTAATTAATAATGCTTTGCATACTCTATTTTGTATACAGCTAATAGAGATTCAACAATATACTAGTTATTCTACATAAGTCATAAGTATCAGGAAAGATAAAAATACTCAATTAAAATATCTGTTAGGTACTTTAAGTAAGATTGAAGAAAAAGAGTTTAAGGCTTTTCAGTTATTAACATTTCATCGCCAGCGAATATAAAAATGAAAATGCATAAAATTACAAATTGTAAATGTTCCAATTAAATTTTAGCACATTAGCTTTAACACGATAATGCTATAAGAGAAAAAGAGAGAAAGAAAGGGAAAGAGAGAGAGAGAGAGAGAGAGAAAAGGTACTTTCAACAAATTATTAAGAAATTTCCCATGTGGAAATTTTTGGAAAAATGTTTAAATTATGGATGATAAATGATAATCACATTCACTCAGCTAATGAATGCATTTAAAATTGATGAATGTTTTAGAAAAGGAATGAGGCAGGATGCGCTTTACATCAAATCTCTCATTTGCGATCGTTGCCATGGCCTCGAAGCTTATTCTAATTATTATCATTGCTATAATTAACATAGCATGATGTATTCATCATAAATACTATCATAGCTTCTGCTTTTTTATTGACACTTATAAATTTAAATGAACTTTGCTATAAACAATAAAATATAAATGTGAAAGAAAGAAAATAAAAAGTATTATTAATGAAAGTTTTAAAAGAAATTTTTCTCAAATAAATTACTAACAATAAATTATTAATTTAAATTTTATCTCAACAAGCAAAAATATAAGATAAAGATCATAAGCAATAAGTGTTTCATGACAGTCTCACAAAACATTCAATAGGCTTGCTTTTATTTCTTACAGTATATGTTTCTTAAGAGTGAATTTTCTCTTTCGCTTATTTTTTTTTAATTTAAAATTATTGTTTACTTTTAATTGCTAATTTACCCCAACGATCCTTTCTTAACAATCAAAAATGATACAACCACATGAGACTATTAAAAAAAGCTTTTACTTTCCACTTATTTACAATAATTTTACCTTATAAATTGATGACAAAATATAATGCCAGAAGAATCTCTAAGAATATTTCGTCCGAATATTATAATTCTAATTTTAGTAAAAAATTTGATTAATTCAATTATCATTTTTGGAGATTCATTGAAAAGAATGTTATGATTTTCAAAGGTTAGCTTTTTTAAGTTCCATATCAAGTAATCGATATCTACCTGATACTAATACAATATTATATTTAGATTGAATTGAAACGAATTGAATATTTATGAATTTTCGGATAAGGCAAATCAGAAAAATCGAATTAACTTAATCGAAATTATATTGCGTGAACAGAAATAAATATTCCAAATTTATTTTATAAACAATTTATATTTTTCACAAAATTAATACTACTCAGAGACAATCAATTTCACATATTTAAATTGAAAAAAAAAGATACGATGTAACTTAAATCAAATAGTATTCGTCATTTTAACTATTGTTTCACTCTGTTGTTAATTAATTTCATCAATGTTTAGGATTTCAAATATTATCAGACATTGTAAAATGGCTAAAAAAAATAAGATCTTAAGTGTTAATTTGAATTAATTCAAGATAAACATTTAAAATAGAATTCATGTTACACATATTTTATTTTGTTTTAATGCTAATGAGTTCCAGATTTTCAAATGAATTGTAAACAGCGGGAGAAGATGAAAAGACAGATAACTTTCAATAACACGATACGATAGAATTGAAAGTTTAATATTTTTATCATTTTGAGATTTCTTTCTTGGAGTAAAATTAATTAAAAGATTTCTTTCTTAAGATAAAATTAATTACGAAAATTCCGAACGTAAAATTAATTAAGAAAATATAACATATTTGATTTTCTTTTATACTATAATGATTGCATAACTAAAATAATTTCATTTTAAGTAAAAAGAATTGGATGTACTTCAAGGATAGTAAAATTTATTTCACTCATCACGTAAGAATCTCTTCCATCAATTCCGAAAGTAGTCTTCAATGTTTCATTTACTTCATTTTCCTTTACTTTTTTTGAAATAAAATTTCAGGTAGGGAAAATATTTATTACTCTGCATATCGTTTATATATCAATCACACTATGAAGATTTCTTAGCTGAAATCTATAAATTATTCAAAATTTATGGGCAACCATAATAAAGCTTTTGAAAATTAATAATATTTAAATTGTGTAAATTTTAAACAAGTATGTTTAAATGATTCTATCGAACTAGTTGATTCCATTTAGTTTAACAAATATCCTAATGGGAGGTTATGATTTTCATAGCGTGAATTGCCATTACCTCATTGTGACGATGAATTTCGTTCAAAGTTGACGTGGAAGTGGAGAGCGACCAGTGGTGAGGTGCGATTAGCTGCTTAGTTTGGGGTTACAATTGGGTAGGTCAGGTCAAAAGTTTTTTCATTTGAATTATCCGAATAATTCTACATTGCAAGAATCCACCACTACCTTATCCATTTTAAATGAGACCAAACTACCGATCGATCATTTTCAATAGCATAGTGCCTGCTGTTATTTATTGATTGCAGTGATTGTCTTTTTTTTTTCAGAAGGTCTGTAAGTAACAGCTTATATCCGTTTTCTTTCTTAGCTCTTTTATTAATTATATATTGCGAATTGTGATTCTTGATTAACTTCCTTCTTTTTTTTTGATCCATTTCTCTTTTTTGCGGACACCATTTAAATCATAAACTCATTCGATAATTTAAGACATATTTGTGAAAGTAGGAGGACTTTTTAATAATTCATGTTGTGGCGATTGCATGGAAAATACTACAAGCATTGTTCTTCTCTTTTCCCCTCTCTTGATAAAATGCAAGTCTTGTTATGCTCTTGCGTTACTTTGTACTATTGTGGAGACTTTGAGAATTTGCAAAACCTAAACAATGAGTTTAAAGAAAATGGTATCAAATGGTAAGGTGGTAACGACTACGTTAAAAGCACGATACGGAGGCGATGTGCGTAAAATGACCATCCATCATAGTGACGATGTGTCGTACAACGATCTTGTTTTAATGATGCAACGAGTATTCAAGCTTCAAAGTTCAGTTAACATATCGTTGAAATATAAGGATGAAGGTAAATTAAATATGGCATTTTGAAAGTTCAAAATTTTGGAATGACACAAACGCTTTTCATGGAGATGAATTAAGAGTTATAATTACAAAAAGGAGATAGAATATTCGCTATAAAAATATTCGCTGTTTTAGTCAAAAATACTGCTATACGTTGACCAATACCGATCACACTTTTTTGTCAGTCATGGCCGCAGAAATCTATCGGTCCAAGTCTAAATTTATCAACCAAGTTTTAACTAGTTGAGCTAGTAACCTAACTCTAGTTTGGGAAATTGAAATTTTATATCACGAATCGTGAATTCTTGTATCATTGACAGGAGTAAGCTGCTCTGAATTGTCGAAGCTGTTATATTACTTGCGATTTACATCGGTTTTTTTAATGTTACAGATGGTGATTATATAACTTTGGCAAATGATACCGATTTGTTATTGGCACTTCAAACGGAAACAAAACTTTCCATAATCGTTCTAAATGATGAAACTGACTTTACGCAAGCAATGAAGTGAGTAACTGTCTCAAAACGAGGCTGTCTCATGGGACTAGATAGTTGAGAAAGTTAATCAAATCTCTTACTAATCTCTTTTTATAAATAACATGAATAGCACTGCAAGACAAAATATCGAAAAAATCAGGAAAACATTGTTTAGTTCTTAATCATATTTATTTTTTTTTTTTGTAAAAAAACAAATGGACAGTTGATTAAAAAACAGATGAATTAGAAATGGAATATACTTAGGATATTAGAATAAGCTTTTTGTCGAACTGGGAGAGTTAGCAAATCTTTAATCAGAGGATTTGGAAGAGTTGAAGGTGGCATTGAGTTGTTTATTTCAGACTAGAGAATCAATTAGAAGTGATACGTGATACAACCATTTCTGCTTTGGAGACTTTGAAAGCGATTAAAATTGGTGTCAAAAGTAATAAATGTGAAGTCATCAGAGAATGTATTACTGATAAGTTAACGAAAAATAGCGAATCGGTTGCAACAATACAGCCCTCTGTCCATGAACAGGTAGATATCGCTGTTTCTGTTAAAGTTACTGAAATGTGGTTTCCTTGTTTATGGTGTTTTTTTAAAAATTGACTTGAAATTTTTACTGCGACTTAAGCAGTGTTCCTTCACTTTTTTCCTATGGATATACCATATGTTCTAGAATTTTGGTAGGAATAATTATCCACCTCTGTCATTATTACCTAATCAAATTATTTCCATCATTCTGCAAAATTTGCCGGATAAGTTCCAGGTAAACAACTTAACGTCTTCTTATGGCGCATCTCTTTCGGCTAAAATTGATTCACCCAGCAAAGACACTCCTCATAGAAGGCTAATGGATGGCATATCACTACCGCCAACTGCTCCACTTGATGTGCAAAATTCGCAGTCAGTTGGACATTCAACATCATCAAGAGAAGACTCACATAGTGGACCAAATACTGAAATTGATATATCGTCCAGTACTCATCTCATAACTTCGTCGTTTCCTTCTGCACAACACGGTAAATTCGTTTTTAAATAAAATTTTACTGGATTATTTGAACTACCCTATCATTCGCTATTTACATATTGGTATATCTAATCAGTTTAGAATAACTTAGCGTTACAGAATACGTTTTATCTAAAGCCTTTAGCAATATATCCTTTTGTATATCTATACAATTAGACTGTTACTACTTTCAAAATGCGGCAAGACAGATCAAGTCATGGTATATTTCATGACTAGATTATTCTAATATGAAAAATATAAACTTTCATCGTATCGAAATTGATATATTAGATAAAAAAGAAAAGTTATTCTTTTCAGAAGCCGGTGATCGTAATCCCCCAGCACTAGCTCCGAATTCGTTATTACCTCAAGCTGTACAGTCAGCACCAACAGGTCCATTGCAAAGTGGGCTACCACCGTTGCCACTTCAAACACAGCTGCCAGCGATGAATACATTCGGTCAGCAGCAGCAGCAACAGCAGCCAAATGCACCAATTTCTGCTCCACAGTCAGAATATCGCTTTGGTATGCCTCCCTTAGGCCAAAATATGCCATCTTTTGGTATCCCAGCTTCACAACCGCAACAACAACAACAGTATCAGCAACAACCATTTGGCAATATGACAAGCAGTGCTAATGCACTACCGCATCCATCTCAGCAGATGCCACTACAAGTTCCACCAACTACTATGCCCAATTCACTACCACCACCTGCATCATCGATACCGGGTTCTGGTCTGCCGCCGACTTCCGGATTTGATGCGCCACCAACTTCTTTCGGTATACAGATGCCATTGGCCAATGCTATAATGCAGTCGCAGCAGATTCCCTATTCTGCAAGTCCGGCAACTCTTCAAAATTTCAGTCCAGCGATAGCAAGACCAGGTTCACAACCGGGTATTTTTAATTTCTATACTTTTGGTAGTGAAACCTAGTTTCTATCTAGAATTCTGCAGCACTAGTTGGTTAAAATAATGCGGAAGGGCCAGGTAATAGCAAGGTGTAAAGAACAAACGCTTGGAAGATATTTAACGGTCTGCCAGTAGACCATATCAGAAAAAGAAAGAAAAATAGTAGGATATGACGTGGCTAATTTCAAATTAGTGATGAAATAATATAACGTGATGAAGATCTTAGCACTAAATCCAGGATAATCTTTTTGTTCACTTCTATTGATTTCTTAGACTCCAATAGTTATTGTTCTTAGTTAACACTTTACTTTTCAGGTATGTTGCCGCAGTCGGTAGCTCCTCCTCCATCCTCAGCTACACCTCTTGGTAGTTTTGGACGCAATTCACCAGCGACATCTGTTGCACATCCCCTCACAGGTCTGCCACCAACAATGACGTTTGGTGCCGCTGTTCCAGGTGCTCCGAATCCATTTGCACGCGGTACACAGTCTTCGCATCATATGCGTTTCCCGTTGCAACCATCCGGATATTGATTTTCTGTCTTTCTCCTTTCGGATTTTGAATCCGGATTCTGCTTTTCTCTGTTATTCGTTGCAATTGCTCCTCACCACAGCGGCCATTTAGCTTTTTCCATTTGTGTTGCTTTCCCATTCTCTTCATAAATTTTTCATATCTCTATGAATGAGCCGTTTCTTTTAGTAATGTGACACTGTTTTTCCTTGTTTTTTATTGGGGCTACAACTGTTTTTATGGTTCGTCATTGTTTAGAGTAATTATTTCAATAAAAAGTTTTGCGATATTAGTCTTTGAAGGGAATACATTGCATGTCGTGGTTTTCATGTCCTTATTTAAATGCGCAGTTTTCTGTTTTTCGAGCATTTTCTGGAGGAAACAGTTGCAGTAGGTTTTGGATTGCTGGGAACAAAGTTCACTCAATTTTTCCAGAAGAATTGAGACGAACTCAGTTATTTTTAAACTCCCAAACTAATATTTATTTGCAAAATTTCAATCGTCTCACAGACATATATTTTTTCCATGTTGCAAGATGCTTGAATAACTTGTACTATGCCACATTGTTTTGATTTTCATAGAAAAACTAACATTTTATGAAATATTTCCCTATTATGGGTAAGTTTACTACTGAATGATTCCTCCAAATTACTCAATTATTCTTTTCACTTACTGCAGTAAAGGAATGTAATCCACATAATTCAGCTACTTAGTTTACTTCAAAATATTTTCCGTTGTTAGCAGTTTTGAGCATCTATATTTTTGGAAAAAAAATGACAGAGAAGGGTGTCAGTTTCTTCCCACCGTTTTTCCTGAATTGTCCATTGTTATTAATGATGCTATCTATTCGATATTTTTTCAACTAATAATGATGTTTTTCTGCTGATGGTCTGAAATTATAATAATATTTCTATTTGGTAATTTCCTCTTCGTTAGAATTAAAAGTGAAACTACAATTTTTAAATTTTCACCGAATATGTAGAATCTATAACACAATTTGCATTCGCTAGACACTTTTATAGGTCCAGCTTTTAGGGAAACAAATGCTTTCTTTTTGGCACCTGGCCTCACATCTTTCTAGGTTACCTAAGTCTCAGTTACGTTCCTTCCTTCATTTTCTTATTACTTGAGTTCTGATTACTGTGAAGAAATATATTCTATCCTGCAAATGATTTATTTTCAACATTAGTTTTGTCCCCTAATTATGATTTGATCGTTTCTGTGGTCTCAAATTGTCGAAGCTACCTGCCGCTATTATAAAATTTACCTAATTCTGTAATTTTTTTACTATCTAGCCATAAATTCGTTTATCAATTACTATCGATATCATTATAGAACTATATTGACTTATGTCAGCCGATTTGAATTGAGCGCACATGGAACCTCAAATTTCATTCGACATGAACACTAGTCGATTAAGAATGGGGTTTTTTTTTTTATGTTTTCGCTATAATTAGTTTATTACTTATTCGATTTCCATATAGGTGAAAAAATTTTTTGAGATAGTTTCCATTTGAACTGGTGTAATCCGATTGAATTAAGTCTAAAGTTTTCGCCTTGCGTTCAACTGCTAGATTATACTTGAAATGAAAAATAGCAGAATGATTCGTTCCAGTGCTCTGGTTTGAGAAAATAATGCCAAAGTAAGATAGCATTTGATATAATCAGAGTCAAGAAATTCAGCTTCATAGTTCACCAATTTCATTTGTTTTTTCTCACCAGTTGCATTTTATTGAATAATGTTATATGTTCCTGTTGGAGGAATTTTCTGATATTTGACATTGGATCTGAAAATTGAGGTCAATGCTTGGATTAAATTGGGGCGATACGCAACCGGCAACATCGGCGACCTTGAAAGCTGTTATTCTCGTCGGTGGTGCACAAAAAGGTAGACCGGATAAAGTTTAGCACTACCATTTATTATCAAAAAAAAAATCAAATTTTCTTGAAATTCAAGTCGGAATTCTTTAAAATGCTACCTGCAAGTTTGGTGCTTATTTCGCTATACGCTTTGTTCTTATTTTTACCAGTTCTGCTCATTGCATATACTGTTTCCCGTTGCCCACTTCGTCTCTGATCCACTCTCGTACGTTTGCATTCAGGTACACGTTTTCGACCACTTTCACTACAACTTCCAAAACCACTATTTCCGATCGCTGGAGTACCGCTCATCGAACATCATATTAAACAGCTTTCAAAGGCAAGTTTTAGTGTTATAGTTTTGGTCTGGTCATTGCGGCTATGTTCAAAAAGCATCGCGATACCTCTAAGGTATTTTGAGAATCATTATAAATGAATATATCATTATCACTCATATACATACCACTTAAAAGTTCGAGTGAATTTGATAGGATTCTTAAGCTTTGAGGCATGAAATGCCATAAAATGCATTATATATCTATATAAAATGCAGAAATATGTTGGTTCTTTTTTGAAATTTAAGTAAAATTTCACGAATTAAAAAAATTGCAATGACATGATTTTAGTTTTAGTTAACTGTCATAACGGAAATTTATTTGATTGGATTCTATCCGGCTAAATACTTTTACGACTTTATCCAAAAATGTACGGAAACATACAGCATTAGAATCAGGTAGTTTTCTGTTATTCGTTTGTCTCTTTCATTATGCTATTATTTGGAAATTTGAAAATAGGTGCGTATATCAAGTTTTTGCTGATTACATGAATTAACTCTGCACTGCGTTCACCATTCCCAATACCATTTCTGTCCATTCATTTTTAATAAAAGTTGGAGAGGATGAGAAGCAAAACTTCGTTTAGATATTTAACTAAAATCAATTTATCATCGTATTACAGGGGTAAATATCTCGATTTTGATTACTGTGGTGAAAATGGACGATGACGACAAAGAAATTTAATAATTTTGTTTTTTTTTTTCAGATACTTGGAAGAACCAGTGGCGCTGGGCACAGCCTGTGGTTTGTACCATTTTCGATCAATCTTGCTTGAGAATAATCCAAGTGCACTATTTGTTCTTAACGCTGATGTTTGTGGTGATTTGCCGATTGCCGAAATGGCCCATGAACTAACCGTGAAACACAACGCTCATGGATTATTACTTACAACCGAAGCTACCCGTGAGCAGTCCATCAACTATGGTTCGGTCGTAATCGATCCGAATGGCAAGGTTAATCTGTGATAGTGGTGTGATAACCATAACCACCGGATTGCTATCGCAAAATTGAAATTCTTTCGAGGATATATCAAATGTTTCAAGAGACAAAATTTAATAAATTTCTATTTCAGAATTTTTAAATTTTATAGAAATTTCATTGCAGCAGGTTCTTCACAAATTTATAAAAACTAAAATGTCTTTTTAGGTTCTTCACTATGTCGACAAACCAACGACTTTTGTGTCACAACATATTTCATGCGGTGTTTACTTGCTACGTGCAAATGTTGTTGAAAGGATTGGTAGAGCGCGCAGTTGTTTAGATGTAAAGCAAGTGTGTATATCTTATCGTTAAGATCTGTCTGGCAGAACATGCATAAAAGCACTAGATTTGCTACATAAGTCGAAGTTTGAGGGAAATTTATGTACTTTCGAAATTTCTTCGATATCCTTAGTCTTTACTTAATTACGACCATAGCTTTTGAGATTTATTTCTATTTGAAAACTTTTAATTCAATTTGATAACTTTAGGTTTGGTTTGAAACAGAGATTTTCCCACAGATGGCTTCAGAATCCGTACTGTACGCACTGAAAACGAAACGTTGGTGGAGTCAAACAAAAACCGCTGCGTAAGATTTATTTTTCAAATAATGATTGAACTTTTATTATTTGTTTTTATGTCTTTTAATACATTATATGTACTAATAACAACGTATATTTTATTTTAGTGCAGTACTTTATGCAAATCGCCATTATTTACGTTTATATAATGCTTCCGATCCATCGCGGTTGTGTCATGACAGGGCACAAATCGTTGGCGATGTCTTCATCGATCCTACTGCTGAGGTTGATGTTGACATTTTGTTTATTTATTTCAGTTAACCTTTCTTAGTATGATCATGATGCTAGTAAAACACATATTCTATCAGAATTAAGCTCTCATTCTCACGTATTATAGCATATTATATTGATGATAATACGATATTACTCCTGTTAACCTATAATCAGCTATAATTAAGATCTTATTCTAATTATCCACAGTTTACAAAAATGATATGTGTCACGCAGTTCTGTATAATCTTTGTGATTCCGCAACATATGTGCAGGTTTTATAGTGATATAAAGCGAAGTTAGCATAATTTGAGAACAATGAAGTTCTTTATATCTTGGTGTAGTTTTTGGACTTTTCATGGAACTGTTTTGTTTTGATTTCCGCATTAAATTTCAGATTTTTTTGAATAAATTTTTATTGCAGATTGATCCAACTGCAAAAATAGGTCCAAATGTGAGTATTGGTGCGAAGGCCAAAATTGCAGCTGGTGTTCGTGTTCGTGAAAGTATTGTTCTATCTGAAGCAGTAATCAACGAACATGCCTGTGTACTACATTCAGTAATAGGTTGGCGCAGCGTTGTTGGTGCATGGGCACGCATAGAAGGTACACCAATTTCACCAAATCCAAACATTCCATTCGCTAAACTGGACAATAAACCGTTGTTCAACAATGATGGCCGTCTTAATCCGTCATTAACTATTCTTGGATCCGACGTTCATGTTCTTGCTGAAACGGTTATTCTTAATTCCATTGTTCTACCATACAAAGAACTAACATCCAGTTACAAAAACCAAATTATACTGTGATCACGAAATTTAGAATTTACTTTTTTCTTATTCATTTTTTGTAATCTTTTTTATATTCTGCATAATTTTTACAGTCTTCTTTGATATTCTGCATTGTAATGTGTAGAAAATGTTACGGTCCGAAAAAAGATTTCAGATTTTATTCCTTAATTTTGACCGTCCTTGAAACTTCCATTCAGTACGGCTTGGCTGTTTTTTCTTGATAACTAGATATCACAAGGAGATTTTCACTCCTCATTAAAGCCCCTTTTAAAGCTTACTCATTTCCAATATATCTTTTCATTTCATTTACTTCTCTTTTTCTGCTTTTTGGAAAGATCATTTGAAGGACGAATAAATTCGGCAGGAAAGTTCATTATTCATCAAAATTTGAATACTGAAAGTTAGAGGAAGTCCATTCTAGAAAAGTAGTTCGGATTTTACATAAAACTTCAACAAAATTAGGACTCATCACTGTCTTATAATTGTTAACTATTAAATCGCTTTTGGAAGTGCTTATAAATTGTTAACTATTATATTTTGTTATGTTGGCTTTTCACTTGCAAGTATTTCAGCAATTTAGAACATCTTTTCTGTATTAATAACTCATAATGCTTCAAGAAAATTTTTACCCATTCTTATTCGCATATGGTCATTTCTTCAATGTGCAAAAATTCCTGCCAGAAAAATTTTCAGTTATAGTTGCCTTTCTTGTTTAATATATTAATTAACTATTTTATCCCGACTATGTACTTTAAGAATCACATCTGCAGTACTTGACAAATAATTTCATAACTTTTCATTTGTTCAGAGATATTGAATTGAATGAATTTTTGTGAGTGTCATATATTTTAAGTCAGATCATATTTTATTAAAATCAAGATTAGCCCATAAAAAATGTTGATCGTAGGTGTCCTTTTATATTATATTTATTTAGTAAGGATTTTCTGCTAATCAGTTAAATTTCAGTTACGTTCATAGAACACTTGTTCCATTTTTCAAACGACTATTTTTCTTAAAATATTAATGCGAGTAACTGAATGTCCTTTCTTTCTTTTACATTTTTTTATTAAGCATTTTGAATACAAAGATAAGAAGCATTTATTTGATTTTGAATATTGAAATTATTAATTGCCCGCTTGTTTATTTTAAATTTTAAAATAATTTAAAATTCCTTCACTAACCATACCATTGGTTGGTCTCATTCGATGATTATATCATTCGAACTATTCGCAAATTTTCCAATTAATTTGTTCTCTTGTTTTATGAAATATGCACTTTATATATGCATGTAAGCTGAATGTTTTTATAATGTATCATGATCGTGCAGCTCTTTCCTAGGTTTTTTTTCAAATTTTTTATTGCATTAAATAATTTTTATTGTGAACAGCTGTGATACACTATTATTTCTCTGATTTGTATTACTTATCTTAATTGCTTCCGTACATGTTTTACTTTGTTGTTTTATATATTATTTTAATCATATTGTTTTGTTTTGATTAAAAAAAGTGATGTGTTGTTAACCCAGCTGAAGGCAAATAATGTTTAGAGCTTGTTATTGATTGAATTTATCAATTGTTTGCATTATGTGCTGTTTCTCATGAATTAAGCACCAAAATGATAATGCTGTTTTGCGTTTTGTTTCAATTGCTACTACAGGAAATTCATTATGATCTGTTTAGCTGAACATATATATACAGTGAAAGCTATCAAGAATTTTGACTTGAAAATTGGCTTGTTGAATCGGCGCATTTATTAAAAACGAAATATTCTGAAGAGAAATATGTCAAGAATATTGTTGATGGTTAAACCCTCTCATAAATTCAAATGATGTCTATTATGTACAACTGTTTAAATCTGGAATAGAATAATGATTCATACCATCTGCGTCCCGCTGATGCAATACGGCGAATTGTAACTGACTATTTTATTAATCATTATCGAAATTGAATAATGTGGTTGTCGTTGGATGTAAATCATCGGTTGGTTAAATTTGTAAATTTGGCGGGAAATAGAGAATGAGATGAGTGAGTATGTTGAAAGATTATAATATAATTAGAGATATATGATATGATTAGAGGGTGGCAATTAGCTCTTAATCAGGTAATGTTTAGAGTTTGTTATTGATTGAATCTATAACAATCAATAATTTTACCATTATTGGATGCTTAGATTGCTTGTGTCAATCATTCTTTTCTCATTTATGTATTCTTTTTTTCTCTATCCAAAAATTAAATTTCAATCAAATTTTCAAAAGGAAAAAGGAAATTTAACTGATTTCAATCGATGCTAATAAATCATCATATGCGTTGTAAAATATGTACTTAATGATCTATAGAATCTATTTGATACATGGAGAAGCTATTGCCTGTGGAGATCAGAAGAAACTCGTCTATAGAAACCCGTCTATTTTAATCAAATTTTTAATTACTATGTACTTCCCGTAGACAGTGAAGCAGACATATAACATATACATATGTATGTATATGTTATACACATACATACGCACACACACATACAGACAGATAGAGACATAGATGTAACGATGCATTGCTAAATATGGATTAAGAAAGAAGGTGGGGAGAAGTTTTTTATTCCTACGAACACTTCGAAATTCTACGTTTAACTACCTTTCCATTCAATACCTTTGCCCATTTTGATGAGCCGAATACGAAGAAAATTTGGTGACAGTCATTGTCTTTTGTATCATCGTTTCTTTTTTTCGTTCTTTTCTTCTGTGTAATCTTTGAGAAAAACTCTCTTAATAGCAAACACATCTCCTCATTTACTAATTATCATCTATCAAAAATAATTAGTGAAATTGGATGCTATTGTTTTGAATTGTTTCTAAAATTTTATTTTGATTGAATGATGAACGTTATTGAACAGTCAAATAATGATCAAAAATGCATTATTGAAATGAGAGAGAATTTTATTTGTTTACTGATTTAATACATTTATTAAATAATACGTTGATCGATGTTTATTGATTTTTTTTTTAACCTTAGTTTGATTTAATATGTTTATTGATTTTTAATTTCTTTTTAACAAACGTATAGTTTGGGAATATTATAATTAGAAATAGGCTTAAGATAACAGGAGGAGAGAGGCTTTTCTAATGATCATTTTGTATTTCCTGAATATTTTATATTATCATTATATTTATTCAGACATTTTTAATATGGAAATTTTAAAAGGAAATTAATTTGCATTTGTTGTTTCATGATACTTCCAAAGAAATCAATTAATATTTGAATAAAGAAGAGAAACTCTTTATCTCTTTGTTTCTCACAAAATTTTTCCCAATTGAAATATCAAAGAGAAATTGAAAAACTTAACAAAATTCTTTCATCCCATCTCATTGTATATCAATTCTTTTTTAAAGACAGAAATTATAAATGAAAAAAGCTACGATAGATATTAATAATTATTGACCCAAATATATATATATTTGGATCAAAAGAATGAAAAATACACATTTCTTTTTTAACCTACAAAATTGTTCTTATTTCAGTCACATTTTTTAAACAGTGAACTGAGTGAGAGATATCACTTCATTACATGAAGTGTTCAATTTGCCGTTCATTGCTGAATGACTACGCATGTGTTAACAATAAGTATGGATAAGAGAGAGAGAGAGATCAATCGGAACTGGTGATTCTCAGACAACACCTCGATACTACAGGACAGAATAAAAAATGCTTTTGAGAGAAGCAAAATGGAATAATTAGCTGAATTTGGGCAAGAAACATATAAATTTGCATAAAAGACAAAAATCATTGCTGAATTTAGACAAAAAGTAGCATCATTTATACTTCGTTCCAATTGGACAATATTTCACTAAGTAAAGTTGGATTAGGCTATTTTATATAAATGAGAATAGATAACATAGAAATTGATTTCTCGTCTGTCCATTTTTTATGAATGAATGGACGATGGGGTCATTTACATATCATTCCTTAAAACATTTTGGGCTTCTTTAGCTCTCTCTATCTCTCTTTTTACTGTTTTCTATTTTATGGTTTTGAGAGATAAATCCCTTTTTTTTGGTACCAATTTTCTCTCCTTCTCCCTCTCTTTCTTCCTCATAATCACATTTTGAAACATTTCAGGACAGTCACATTTTTTTGTTTTCTTCTGTAGCATCATAAATGTTATTTGTATTCGTATAATATACCATTGTACGAGTGGAATGTATCAATACATAACTGTCACGTGATATTGATACTATAATTTACTTCGAAATATGTAAGTATTAGTTCATTGTTGTCACAATCAGGAGAATAAAAGGTCTCTTTTGAATTTCATATATTATTTTTCAGATATACTTCAATCAGTGCGGTCAATTTTGCGATCGTTTAACAATGATAGCACAACATAGGTTTATATCTAGGTATAAAATAAAAGTTAAAAGGAATGAAATTTTTTATTCCCAGATTCTTTGTGGCGTAGATTTTACCCCCATTAAATAAAGTCTTAAATGTTCAGTATTTTTTATAAACAATAACTTGGAGAAAACTCTTTCTTCATCTTCCTCTTTTATTGGAAAGAAGTTAATATGTGACCTGAACTTCTAAAGCATTTAGAAATTTTAAAAAGCTAAAAACTTTTATTACAATCATTCAATTTCAATGTAAAATTTCAATTAATGTCATAAACTATTTCACTTTAATCTATTTTATGAATGAAATAGCCAAGTTGTTGCATTTTACAGAAAGAGGATCTATTCAAAATTATTTTCACTCACTGAAAATAATGATAAGTGTATGCGAGTAATACGGAAGGATAGGAATTCTAAATAGTTTCACATCTGATCGAAATTAAGCCATATGTTTAATAATATTGCAATTGATCGTAACGCTAACATATAAACATCGAAAATATCTTTTATGATTTAGAAAATAATCTCATCACTTTTTTTGCAAGGAACAGAAAGAAAATTGGGAGAGTAAATGAATCACGAGGTATTATTAGATTCATTATAAGGATATTATGCAAGATTCGAAATTAAGAAATAAGTCCAATGAACTTTCATAGAGGCTAGGTTACAGGTCGAAGGAGCAAATGTGATTCTGTCCTAGTTCGTTTTATAATCGATGTAAAGATTGATTTAGCGATTTAATGGAAAATTTTTTGTTTGTCTGAAGATTTTAAACCATTTGCTGCGATGGCATTTCAACCAATTTGTAAAACAACAAACGATGCCGTCACATTTCAATTCTTCCCCTTATATCCATTTTGCTTACATATCTTTCATATTACATTCATTTCTTATTTGCTTAGCTATCTTACTCGTTCATTTATTATTATTTGGTAGTTTGTTGACTAGGAAGAGAATGTTATATATATATATTGAATTAGCTTCATTACTCACCTGTTCATCGATTCCTAAGGATTTATTATATTGTCTAGTATTTCAAGTTGCTCAGCTATAAAGTTTACTTGTTGTAGTTCATTAAGATGTTGTGGAATGAATGTTACTTCATGTAGCAAAGTGAATTATGAATGATTGTTATACAAATGCTACTATTAAACAATGTGAAATTATGCATATATTATAGTATGTTTTAATCATTTTGTCATCCTAATTCTTGTCTTTATGCAGTATTCATGTCAACAAATTATTTGAAAATGAGCTCTTGAAAGGAACCTTGATTTGTAACTCAAACACAGTAGTTAGATGATTTTGAATAATAGGTTATATTATAATGAATATTTTAATATTTATCACATTCTCTGCTTTACATCGTCACGTCATCTTGCAGTTTTGATAAAACTAATGATTTGAAAAACATTTGACATTTATTTCAGCAGTCCGAGAATGGATTCATTCAGACGACATTCATCATGCAAAGGTTTGAATTTACTTGAAATTTCTTAATTTTTACGTTAACAAAAAAAACGCGTTTCTTTCAGAAGAATCCGGAAGTACGAGACAACATGAGAAATAAATGCACTTTTCTTTGATCTCTAAACCTTAATAACAAAGGATTGGTTTGTGTAGTTTCTGTTCCATTTCACATAATCTCTGTAGTATCTTTATTAAATATTAAGCAATCACAATCACGATATGTTACATACAGGGTCATTTTGCAGAATATTTTTTGCTGGACATGAATAGAAAATTGGAAATTCTAATGAACTGAAAAAAATGTTACGTCAAACGTTATAATAACGACATTTAATGAGATAAGATTGTTAATGGGTCAAATTATAATTACCAAATTTAATGAGATAAAGTTATTGATGGTTTTTAACTTGAAATTGTGTCTCGACGATAAACACTTCACGTCATCATCGTTTGAGTGTGATCTTTAGAGTGTTGGTCATTGGCCAACATTGCATGGCTGTTGTCGCCCTACTGCTTTAATACCACTAACCAATTAACCACAATGGTTGCCAATATTTACAAGGACTTTCCTCATCGATCCCGATTTGTTTCAATCAATTTATTTGCTGTTTCTGTTTGTATCTATGCATGCGTGTGTGAGTGTGGTATGTGTGTGATAATACCATAAATAAATTTCTTGTCTTCTTGCTTCATATCATGTGATGATCAAAAATCGTCCTCCCCTTAATGTTGTTTACCTCATTTATATTATTTATAAAGAAATTGAAGTTGAAGCCATAATTCACCTTTGCACTTTCTTCTGCTACTTTAACTTTTTAAATTTTGACATTGACGAATTCTTCCAACTTTATATTCAGCCATTTATCAATTGCTTTATTGAATAATTCTGAATAATCTGAATAACGACGTTGCTACTCTCAATTATATCCGTTGCAGAGCTCCACGTAATGACCCCGATATGCTGCACATGCCTCCCATTTTTCCTACGTAAGCGTTTCTTTTACATTTCGTTACGGTCATTATTACAGCGTCTAATAAGTAATTACCATTTCCCTTAATTTTCACAGGCAATGTTCAGACTTTAAATAAATCCTGAGAAGTAACCTGCAGTAGCAGGTTATTATCAAATATCAAGTGAGAATTTTGAAATAGTTCAATTTGGAAAGGATCAAAGTGGAGTGATTGCTTATTCAGTATGAGCAATCATTGTGAAAGGAAGGGAAATTAAAATGTCGTTCTGATTTATCTTCTTGTCTTCCTGAATTTAGTTCGAGAAATCGGTAGGACCTTTCTTCTTCCTGTTATTATTATTAATTATTACTATCATTATTACTAATTGTTATTATTATTGCGTTTTACGATTGTAGGCTTCAAAATGATAAACGCTGGCTCATTGAGAAACATTTATCATTCTGTTAACATTCCCTCTGTAGGATGATAATTGTCTGTGCTTCAAGTAATAACAAAGAGTAAATTGAATGTCAATAATGCTTTAGTGGGTGACTTCCGCTTTCTGTTGGTATTTCCTTGTCATCTCATACTGTCACCGTTCTCTGATTTCATTACCATCCTGTAACTATCACTCCTTCATCGGTTAAAACTTATAAAAGCTTCGAGCTTCATTTTTCTTTTTTAGATCTATTGAATAGTCAAGCATCACTTGGTGATAACTATGCAGTCATTACAATTCACCACTATCCTCAATAATTTTTATATAATTCGTAATCCAGTTTGAGAACACTATAAAGCAGTAGGCTTCAATCCTGCTGTTACATAGCCATAATTTGTGTATCTGAGAATCTATTCCAAAACGAAAACTGAATACTACTTTTTCGCAAAAAAAGGCAAGCAATATCATTCACAAGGTCATCAAACAAGTGTGAAAACCTGGTTCGATGACAGAAAGGAATGAATTAATTCAAAATCCTTGGGCCAGCTGCGCGCAGAACTGATTATTGTGTGCATAATTCATTAAACCAACATATTAACTTTTTTCCGAGAAGGAATTATTTCTTATCATTGATGCTCGATTATGCATTATGAACTGATCGAAATCCAGTTTCAGATGAACACGATGAAATGCAGAAGAAGACATTCACCAAATGGGTCAATTATCATCTTGAAACAGTTAGTTTCAAATTTCATTTATCTTATTTTACTTTATGACTTTTATAATTTAACATCTTTTTTTGTTGGTCATCTGCTTTTATCTTACAATTAGTGTCAGGTGATGTAATACATTGAATAATGAATGACAGGATGGCTTGAAGATGGATAAAATTAAATACCAAAAAAATTTTGAATTCCTTTTTAACTTTTTGTTGTGAAAAGAGGCTCAATTATTACTAAAAAAATCTAAAAATTAGAGTCATTCAAGCTAATTATAAATGAATTTAAATAATCTTAGGAACATTCAAATTATCCTTCTTCAGCAATGTTTTACACTCCAAAAAATTGAAATATCCCATCTTACAAATTTTGATAGGAGACAACCGGGAAATCCTCATTTAAAATTACTTTGAACAAAAAACTTTAAAAGTCAATAAGAACTGTCACTGTAGTGGGAAAGAGATCATTTGTCAAGGTCCCCAAACTTTTCAGACCTGATCCCAGTTCAAATAAAACACCATAGCTTTACTGTGATTCTTTAATTCAAAAAAGAAGCTAGTAAAGGTAAACTGCCTTTGTGAAGATTACCATAAATTTGATTTGCTGTCTGATTGTTCTTCCTCCGGGAAATCATTCATCCACTTACACTTTCTCTCGGTCCTTGTGCCAATTAATATGTGCGAAATCAATCGTATTTTGCACTTTTAATGTATTTTATTGAAAAATTCCGGTCGCAAATAAGTATTTCGTCAATTCTAAATTCATCGTTCTGCATTTATTGTAATCCGAATTTCAATGTCCACTAATTTTTGCTAAATCCTATTTTCAAAGAAATTACTTGTACAGTACGGTATAAAAATTCATGCTAAAAGTTTTAAGAAAATTTTTTTTTGATTCAAATTCTAATTCTACGAATAATCTCACAAAGCAAAAACATAGTCCGTATTAAGCGGATTGAATTCCGTAGACCTATATTGAAGGAATACTGAATCCTATCCAAAAAATTGGAATTTTGGTCAATCAAAATTTAGTGACTAACCGGAGGGATTGGTAATTTACAGTTTTAGAACTTTTCTTAAATTTTGGAAGCAGTTCGTTGGTTCTGTTGCTTCTATCTGCATTTGCGTTCTATTAATATCGATTTTCTTGTTTATTCATTTTACTGGAATTCTTTCATTTTTTCCTATGAATCAGTTACAATCTATTATTGAAGTTGCTAAAATCTTCTCAAAGGTTAACTTTATATGAATTTAGGATTTTGATAATTTTGATAACAAGATGGAAAGCAAATAGTTCTCTACTCAAATAATTTTTCATTGGAATTTTTTTTGAAGTAACGACAAACGGTAATGCAAAAAAAACTGTTTGAATTTTTGAGTAAATAATGTTAGTTTGGGAAGTGGAACCGAAAATTTCGGCAACAAATAATATTACAAGTAAGCAGCAAGCAGTTGCATTTCTGAATTCGATATATTTTTATCAATTGTCTTGACGTGTTTGGGATAGTGGCGGTTTGCTTATCATTTATGCTGTCAAAATGTAATTTTTTTTGACTTAATATCAGGAATCTGTCATGATTTATGTGAACATCCGCATAAATGGCTTTCAGCACAAGCCATATCGATATGGTAACACATATCGTTGTCAGTTCAGTTACATTTAATGATTCTTGAACATCAAGCTGATGAAACGGTACATTGTTTCATGTACAGCACATTTGCATTTGGAAGCGTAGCAAGCAAATTTATTGCAAAATTTGCTGTAATTTCATTAATACGACATTAGAATAATAACACTTTCATATGACTACTGCATTATTGTTTTGAGATACCATGTTATCTCATTTCAAATCCCAATATAGGTAAACTCAATATACTGATAACGAAAATAAATGTTGAGTTTTACTTTTAAAATCTTTAGACGAAAGAAATGTTCAATACATATTCCAATACTCATTCGTGCATAAATTTCATGTAAAAGCACTTAGAACTATTTTATTTCTTACGTTGGTATCAAAACTCATATCGCTCATCTTGCTTGGTAGTTTTGGCACATGTGTTCCATCTTTCATTGTTATCATCTGACATTATCCTATAGTGAACTGTTTAGATCTATGATCTAAGAGTCGTAATATTGCACAGTAAAATATGGGTCAAACGTAATTTTTATTAATTGATCAAATGTTATTAAGGTCTCTCATAAAGTACCTTTTCAGCATAATTCATCAGAACTGGTGGAAGACTTATTTGAGGACCTCAGAGATGGCGTGTTATTATGCCGTCTCATCGAATTTCTTACGGGTGAAGCATTGGTATGTCATTATCATCATAAACAGTCATTATATAGCATGCAGAACCATCAAAATCCAATTGTAATGATATCAATATGTTTTTTAGTGTTTTCTGAAATAGATATCAATTATCAGTTTTGTTAGAGAAATTCTGATTCGCTTTAATCGTAGTAAATTCGATGAAAATTGGAGTTATACAGGAAACTGCAGAAATTGAAGATTCATGACTAGCTGTTAACTGTCTTCTTGTTCAACGTTCGATTGCTCTACAAAATTAAAAAGTAGCATCCTAAAATTGAAAAAAAGTAAAGTACAAAATGAAATCGAAATCTCAGACTTTGTTCACTGATTCCACTCAAATATTTTAACAACGACAATATGTGCTCATATATTCTGAATTTCAACGAAATTTCAAAATTTTAAGCCAGTTAATAAGACAAAAGAATCAAAACGGGTACACCATATCAGCAATTTAACAACAGCGTTGGCAGCTTTGCGACGTCGTGGTCTTGACTTGGTCAACAATAATCCAGCAGATATAGCCAATGGAAATCCTCGAATAATCTGTGGACTCATTTGGCAGATGATCCTCCATTTTCAAGTATGGGATACTTAATTTTACCGGATTTCCCCAAAAAACATTCCATTTGCGATAAATAGTTTTTCAAATGAATGTAAAAAGCGTGGATTGTTTTTTTTACTCTTCATTTTGACACGTCAGATTCTTACAGATTGAGTCCAATGTTCAGCTATTGAAAGAGTGGGGATTTGAGTTAGAATTGGCGAATAGTCCATCAACGTCTAGAATTAATGAAAATAGCCCTTTTGGCAAATTACCGTATCAGCTACGTGTTGGACGTCTAAAAGCACCTGTTGATCGTGTAGTTTTACGATGGGTAAATGCCCAACTTTCAAGGTATTTCATATTAATTGATTTCATCATAATATTGTTCATATATTTTCAAGAAACCAAAACTAAAGTCAAAATAATCTGCGGTCGAAAAGATGGATAATGAATGGTTTGAACAAAGAAATGAGAGATAGAGGCTTCTAAAGAAATTATGAATTCTTCGGAAGTGAGATACTAAAGAAAAGCGAATAAGAAGATGAAGAAATAAGTTTAGAAGTATAATATGACGACTTGAAAAAAGGGAGAAATAATTCCGAAAGAATGTACTGAAAATTAAATAAAACACTTTGTAAATAAAACACTAAAATTAAATAAAACACTTTGTACTTTGTATGAAGTCTCTTTTAGACCTTATAGCATAAGTCTGACTGATATGGATAAAAGTTGGCGTGATGGGATTGCTTTCAACGCACTAATACATCGTATAAAACCCGAACTGATTGACATGGATATCGTACGTCGAAGCACTCCAAAAACGAACCTTGAGCAGGTGGGTAAATTTTATTCAGTAATTTCTCATTTGTGAAGTTTAAAATTAAAATCGTGATCTTAAACTTTTAAAGCAATACTTCACTCGTTTATAATTTGATGCTATAATATTCATAATAAATTTTCACATAGTAAGACGTTTTTGCTTATACCCGGTTGTGCCTCCTTGCTACTCATAGGTGGAATATTTATTAATGATGTTTCAGGCGTTTCGACTAGCAAAGGAACATCTGCACATACGACCGTTATTAGATGTAGAAGATATGTTATGTGACAAATCGGATAAACGATCTGTGATTACTTATGTGTCACAGTTCATTCGTGCTCTTAAGCATCTACAACCAATTGTTTCATGTCCAATGATTGATGACCATTCACTGATTTCTTGGATGGAAGATACCTTGAGCATCTTAAGATCTTCTGTTAGTGCACCACTTTATGACCAATATCAGGTAATTGCGGAAATTCACATTCGCAAACCGCTACTCTAAAATATGAGCTTTTGTCTAATGATTGATAAAATGACGTTAGTGCTGCTGAAGTAAGAGTTTAAATAAGGCTCATATTTTTTCTGCAAAAATTGAATGCTGATAGGCATAAGTAATATGCCGAGTTTGTTGGCATCATTTACTTAAGCTTAATTATAACCACCGTAAAATATTATTTGGATTAAATCAATTTTATCAATTACATAATATTGCAGACATATATGTCATTGCGAAAACAATATTTTGAGCATCGCAACGCTTATTATTCACTTCGCGAACGTACCGCTGCACTACCGGAAGGCGAATGGAATCAAATTGAGGCCAGGCAAGCTTGCATTGTAACTCATATCGAAATCAAGATGTGTTAGATATCATTTAGCAGCCCCAAAACACAAAGGATATGACCGTTTCTTGACTTCGAAAAATCGATATATTCATCTTTTTAATGAAACCATATTGAGATAGGCCTTACTCAGAAGAACGGGATTACTTGTTTTGTCTTTACCAACGTGTTCCAGATTCAACTTTTTCTGGTATTAGTTAAGGCAAGCTTAGATCTTTTTGAACTTATAAATAGGAGCATTTTTGTTCCATGTTGACAAAAACACACTCTTCGTATGCTTAAAGCCTTAATAATAAAAAGTAACGTCGAGGAGGAAAGCGGATGTTAGAGGCGTAAGTTTATTTTTCTATAAAGATAGTATGGCATTGAAATATAAACGAAAAAAAATGAAACAAAAGAATGAATGGAATTTATGAAAAAGTAGTTTTACTTGCCGAGAAAATCCTTAAATGGAAGATGCTATAAAATACACACAAAAAAATTTCGTTAAAAACGAAAACAAAAAGAAGATATGGAAACACTGCCATAGTCTTTAGTCCGTTCAGGCGAGAGCGGTTTATTTAATCACATGGCATTTTCATTCTATTAACTTAGGAGCTGTTCAAAATGTCTCCCAACATTGTTAATCATGCTTCCAAGTTAAATGATTTTGGTTTTAAATATCTAAAAGTTTTCAAAATGTCATTTATAGCTGGAAAAGGATCGGAGACCTACTGGAAGACTGGAGTCACAACCTAGAATGTGAACTGCCTGAAAAATTGTCTGAATTGGCACAGTGGTTGTGTACCGCAGAACAAATGATACAAAATCCAGTGGATATACGGGTGGATGATGTGCAGTTATCGTTGTCTAATATCAATGAATCAATCAGTCATCATAAGGTTTATAAATTCTTCCACTATGGATAATTGATTTTTGCACAAGTGAACTGTACAATTGAGGAATACTTGTGAAATCCCGTAATAGTATCTGAGGATGAATAGATATTCTTACGTAAATAAAAAAATATCAACTTTTTGAAACATATGCGCTTCTTGTTCCATTACATGTTGTGTTAAAAAACATTTTCTATAGATTCACTTCTCGGAATTCCCTTACCGATCGGAACGATTCCAATCTATCTATCTTAGCCGAAGGGTAGACGAACGCGAAGTTGCCATGGAGTTGTTAGAACCGTTGAAGATTCGATTCGATACTCTAGTAACTGCAGCCCCACGTCGTTTGCAATATCTTCATCGAGTACAAGCACAATATCAACTTCTTTCTAATGCAGAAGTACTGAATCAGAAGATGGAGCGATGGAAATCTGGTGATTCAGCTGCTGCTATTCAAAAATCTATGAAAGAATATAAGGTGATTTGAGCTTTTGTGAACTTTTTAGCAGTTTCTAATTCTCTCTAATTTAACATTTTTACTTTTCTACCTGCATTTTTTTTGAATTATTTGAGGCTTCCAACGATATTTGAATGTGGAATATTTATTCATTTGAAGTTTCCTGAATAATGCTGTAAAATTTTAGATGGAAGCGGAAAGCGCTCCAGCGAAGAAATTCAAACGACTTCTTACACGTCTAAAAGAAGTTTACAGTGAAGGTATTACTTCTTTCATCCCGTTTTCAAATACTCGCGAAAATTGAACGGGTAAATTGACTAAAAAAAATCCTAGTTATTGCAAGCAGTCGGCCTTTTCATTCTTAGACTCTCTTCTTTTGGTTGATATGATTGCTTCCATTTTATCTATTTTCTCAAAATTTGTAAATATGTTTATTTTAAAATTTATGCAAAAAAGAAAAAGAAAACAGTGATCCTTATATTTGTTTGTGCTAAGCATTGTTATATTGTGTAGTATAATTCTAAATTGGAGAACTTCAAAAATATATCAAGAGAAGGTTTGGAATTAATGAATAATCTCTTTGGTATCTGAGCTCTAAGCAAAAATACCGTCCGGAAGTCTTTGACTGCTTGTATCTAATGGTCCGAATTAACCAAAGCAGTTTTTTTGGATTTTAGCTTCCTTAGAAGAAGCTGACTCCGTTATCAAGGAATGCGAAGACGCATCAGAGGAAACCGTGGAAAAATTCCAACAGCTGAAACAGCATCTGGATGAACTTTTCAAATTTTGGCATGAATTTGAAAATGTTGCAACTAAGGTATTACAGTCAAGTTTATTTTTGAAAGTTCGATTTGAAACGAAAGTAGAATTCTATATGAAAAAAAACTAACTTTTGGCTTGTTATCTGATTTTAAATTTTAATTGTTTTGATTTTCATGAAATCCTTCAATTTTTTCAGATTGAAGAAAGAATCACACGTTCGGAACGCGAAAAACGCAATTTGGTCGACGAAGATAACAAAGACTTTTTGCGACATTGTGAGAGAATTCGCAATGATATTGCAAGATTTGGGAATGATCAGGTGCAACAAATTGTTAACAGTCGTCTTTCCGAACTAAGAAAGCGTATCAGTGCCGTCAAACGAGTATATTTTTGAATATTTCATGAATTTCGCAATATATATTATTTCAAAGGTTGTGCAGGATAGTTTGATTATCGATTTTCTCATTACTACTAATTCATAAAAGGTTCAATTTGAAACCACAAAGATTTTCACTTGCTGAACATTATAGTTAGGGCGCGAAATGAAAGTTTACATAAATTTGGAACCTTTTGTAATTTTTCCTGGATGGCGTTTGGTAATTTGGAAACTTTCTTTTTTTTTATCCAAAAATTCTGGTATTTTATTATAGCATTGCAGAAAATTCCAACAAAAATGGCATCACACTTACAAGAAGATGCATTATCCAAAAAACTGATACAAGCCAATATTACGTTATCAGGTAGTGAAAGTATTGCTGCTACAACGTCAGATACACAAGGGCTTGGACACAATCGTCTTCAGAAGTGGCTTATCACTGCTCGTCAACAAATGTCTACTATCGTAACCGATTTGAATAGTTTGGAGCGTGCAATTAATCAAGTATCGGTTGGTACTTTGAGATATTAATGTAAAGAAGACTATCAATTTCGGAGATAAATGAAGTCGTTATATGAAGTTGATATAATTTGTTAGATCCAGAAATCTATGATACTGTGTCCATATGCCAGTGTGCCATGGGATAGGTCACTAAATGTGGTAATAGCTAACATTAAGGATATACAAATATAATTTTTGTGCTTTTATGTCTTTTGCTTTAGGATTGTATTCGCGAAGTGCAAGGAGTGGAAAATGAACGAATGGCATTGCTAAAAACACGTGGTGCAAACAATGAACAAAATATAGGCGAATATCGAAAACTGCGTTCTGATTTGCAGACTCTGTTGCAACATATGAAAAATGTTCAACCTTTGTTTTTATCATTTGAAAAAAATTATTATAATCTTCTCAATTGGCTCAATGATCAAGTATGAATTTTTTTCTTTCCAGATTCATTATTCTTTTTATCATTTCTTAAGCGAAATATCTCAAATCTTACCGCAAATGGAACTTATAGTCAACATATTTTTAATGCGCATTCTAAATCATTGAATAATTTGTAATTTTACTTGATCATTAATTTTTAAGTGGAACTTATATTTTTTCATCGTTTTCTAGGATGATGAAAGAGAAAATAAAGAGAATGAGAAGTCTGATATAATTATTCACATGACATTTTTGTTGGAAACCATGTCACGGAATGAATATAGGAAATGGATTAATTGTGACTTCTTGCAACGTCGTCTCGATGAATTGAAATATAGAATGAAGGTTCAGTAATTTTACCACATACTTTTATTGCATTGTAGCAAACAGTATTGGGAAATTTAAAAGAAAGGCACAGTTTAGCATATATAATGTCGTTCTAATGGAGTGGAAATTTAAGTGAACCAGTCAGAAATTCTAAAAAATTAAACTTGGCACATCAGATGCTTATATTGCTTAACATAATTTAGTCTATTCTTTTTCCTTATGTAATGCTACGACAATATGATAATATTTCTTTAAATTAGTTTTTTCTAAAGCTGGGAATTTAATTATTAAAGCAAAAAAGTGAAAGTAGTCATATACGAGCCATTTCTATTTTGTTTTAATTTTTCAGGAAAGAAAAGAGCAACTTGTAGAGGCGGAAGAGTCATCCGGAACTGGGGTGAGTTTTTGCTACGAGGTTGATTTTTTCAATTTCAGACTTTCCTTGTTCCGTAGTTTCTCATTGCCTAAATCTACTTTAAATAAAATTGGAAGATTTATGATAAGGTGAAAGAAATGTTTCAGTCCAAATAAAAGAAACGAGGGAATTGTACATTTATTTACTGTGATTATATTTGACATCCGAGTTTTTGCTACTTGTTTCTATATAAATAAGGAAGAGTTTTCATAATTTTTTTGAAATAATTAAATTTCACTGTTTTAAATAGTGGAACAAGTGAGATTTTTGAATTGCTGCAAGATTATGCATGTAGGAGATTTTCGAATAAATTTCGTCAGGATGTCAAATAAATTGGAATAACTTTCGAGATGAGAAAAAATTCCAGCAGGAAAGGGAATGCGTTCATTCTTTCAAGCTTTGTATGTAAATGAAATGTTTTAAAATTCTGACAAGTATTTATGAAATATTTTGAAATAAGAAATCAGTTATTTCTTTTTCATAGATATCAAGATCGTTTTCAGACGATTAAATGCGTAATGTTGTTAATTTCAACCTGAGTTTTATCTTCATTCCTTCTACTGATACTGCATCTTCCCGAAATAGAATGACGCTGCAAAATTTTAGAAAACTTGGAAAAGAAAGAATTTTCTTAATTTCCATTTTGAAGAAAAAAGTCCAATTTTCAGGCTATAACAGCAGCGCTGATTAAGAAGAAGGAACTTCTGAAGCAGTCTGTAGAAAGCTGGGCAGATATTAAAATTTGGGTCGACAGTGTTACCGAAATCGACACTCATTTGGAACTCATTTTCGCTGCAGCCAACAATACTTCCTTACCTGTATCCGATGAATTCAACAATGAAAAAGAGAAACTTCAGGAGGAATGGCATCAGAAAACGGAAGCCATTGGCCAATTGCAAATAATTCATGACGCGATCAAAGTACTTCGGAACAAGCTGGCCGAGAATCCACGATTGTCACAACTGATATTGTTGAATGCGGAAATAGACAATCTAAGTCGGCAGTGCATGAATGTCGTCGATCCCAGCGTTATAGGCCTTCGAAATTGTTATCTGAACAAAATTGAGGAGGAACTTCGTATAGCCATCACAGAATCGTTCTCAAGGGCGGAGCAACGAGTCACCGAGTTGTCGGTGATTGGCGAAACGGATGTAGGGCTTGCTGTTGACATTCTTCAGGTCTGTTATGTTTTTGTTATGTGTGTGTATATGTGTGGTGGATGAGTGTATGTGTGTATGTTGTTTATACACTTCTATAACGTTTTTTTCACAAAGTATTGCGAAGTGATTGCTTTCTCGATACCAATATCTTTTCGCTGAGGGTCGCTAAGTGATTGTTTTTCGATATCGATATCTCATTACTGAGGATAGGTAATGCCCCGTACTGGAAGACTAACTTCCCATATTTTGGTCACGTGATTCAATCACAATAGTAGATCTCTTGTTTTTTATACTACCTGTCGCTGCGATGTTTGATTCATCTAATAATTTTAATAGTGAATCTGAAATGACTTTAAATGGAAGTTGAGTGAAAGTAAGTGAAGACTGGAATTGTTAAAAAATGTAAGTGGGTAAATGAAAAATGAATGAAATTATTGAGTTTTAAAGCATTTTGCATTGTTTCATGAATTCAAGGTCTTTGCCTTCCAATCTCCTTATAGTTTTATTATTGACATATTTATTGACAATTATACATTGTTAAAAGAAAATAAAAGTGCATAGCTTGCTGCGGAAAATGATTCATTAGAAATTCTAATAATGAAGTAAAAAATTTCCACGTTAGAATATGAACCCATATGATTAAAATTGAGCAGATCGCAGAGTACATCCTAATCATCTATGTTTCTGATTTCTGAAGTATGATAGATAAAATTATAGAAAAAAATTGAAGTACAATAGATAAAATTTCTGGTTGAAAATGATTAAGAAATTTTGATGAAGTTTGCAAATATTAAATTATGCATAACATTTTGGAAACAGAAAATCCTTCCTAGTACTGTAATTTTATTGGACTTCGATCGCATTCGAATTTGATATAGCATATGCATTCCGAAGGCTGCACTAATTGAAGTGTCGCCTAAGCTTTATAAAATTCTAGCCATTAAAAGATTTCGAGTAAATAATCTGGAGAAACTCTTAGACTTATAACTGAAAGATCAAGCTCAGTTGTTTGTGTATGGTGATACAGAATTCGTTATTTTTTGAGCGCAGCTAATATATAGTTTAATATGGGCATTAATTCCTTTTATCATACAACAAGGACTTTGAACTTTCAACTCTAATTTAAATTTCAAAGTTTACAACGAACGGTGTTGATCATTTGAAAGCAATAAAGTTTATAATTTAAACATCTTTAGTTAACTTGAAGTCGGGTACTACTATGTAAGGATGAAGTGAAGACAGGGTCTTTGCATTTTCGAGATTTGAATTTTTGCTGGGAATGGTTGGAGAAATTAATCATGCACTATAGATTTAGAACTCATGAACTGGTACCTTCAAATCTTCAATCTTATCGATTGTTTCTGAGGATTTGAAATCAGATTTAGTAATCGCTGATGGCAGTTCAGTATTTGAGCTTTTAATTTTGAATAATTCTGAATTTATTGCATTTTGACATTTAATGCGAAAAATTATCTATCCCTTCCACGAAAACTCGTTCTCCTTTATTTTAGAAGTTTCCGTTAAATCTCTAGGTTTAGCTATAGAGAAGGACGTTGAGGACATTTCAGCAGTTGAAAGATGGTATCTTTTAGTGAAAACATTGCATTCGATGTAGCCTACTCGAATTTTTTTCTGTTTCGAAGCACTCTCACTTGTAAAGACGTTCGCTGATATATGCATGCACTTCATTTCTTCTTCCACTTCGTTCAATCGCTTTCCCTCTCTCTCTCTCTCTCTCTCTCTCTCTCTCTCCCTCGTTTCCCTATCACCTGCTCATTTCTGAAAAAGGTGAAATTTCAGATGTCGAAGCTATTTTTACATTGCTTTATCAGAATTCATTCTTTCGCCATTGTCTATTTTAAATTCGTACTCGAATAAATTCCGTTATTTTCATTTCATAATTTCATTGTTTGTCATCATCTATTCTTGCTTTCAGGATTACCAACAAGAGGCACAAAGAATATTGAGTGACGATCCAAAGTTTCTGGAAGTTGTTGTGGCAATTAAGGAGGCCCAAAAAACCTTACAAGCAAAAATGGATTTCTTCACTGGCCTACAACATTTCTATGAAGCATTGAATACTATCAAACAAGAAAATGAACAATGGAATTCAATCACGTCACAGCAGGTTTTCTTAAGACTTTGTAAAATTTTTATTTTTTCTAACAAATTTTTACAAATTTTATTTTTTCTACAACGCCCGAAAATTATCATTTATATAGCATATTCTCTCTTAAAAAATTTTTTAATTTTATGAGAAATATTAAATAACTTCATTATGGAATTTTTTAAAGCACTGTGGGATTTTTTCCGTTAACTTTTAGGTTTTTATCAATATACATGGTCGTTGTTAACTACAACTTTCTGATAAAATGCAATGCATCTTACTTTTTCTCTCTGTTATGTCTTAGTTTATACACTGTAGACGGGGAGAACTTACATCCTTAATTGATTTCTATTAGCGATCTTCACATGTAGGTTATAATAATAATAAATCCATTTCTACATGAAGATGAAGCAGTAAAGTTAGCTACTTGCTTTTTGAAGTTTCCATAAAACTCCTGAAGTTTATACCACATTATGACGGCTGGGCCCTTCATTTGAAGTTTCTTCCAAAAGTAAAGAAGATAATTAGGAATAAATTACTTGACAAAAGCGATGAAAAGGAAATTATTAGTATATTAATGAAAAAATTTCAGGTCGAAGAAGTATCTATAAGGCTTGAAGAGCTTTTAAAACTTATTGAAAACGAGTATGCGCCTGAGGCAAATGCTTTATGCTCGCAGTTTGAATCTATTCGGTCATCTTTTTTTCAGCTAGAATGTGATCGAATTAAGGAAAAGTTAGTCTTAAAAATTTTGTATAACAGCTAGATAAATTTTTGAATTTAATGGCATTTATTTTGTAATGAAAGTTAAGTTTGCCAATATACTTACTGTTTCTACTGACAGGTTGCGGGTTCTTATACTACAACTGGACAGGCTCGTGGATTTAATGGCGAAGCGAAAGATTCTTCTACTCAAATTCAAAGAATTCCAAAAATTTGTTAAAGATGTTACATTACTCAGAACAATACATGCTGCCTCGATCGGTGTGGAAGTCGATATGCATCGAATTGTATTCCATTATTAACTGTTTTATTTGAATTTATAAAAACATCACTTTATATATATCAGCAGTTCTTTTATATCATGCAGAGTTTTCTCTTACAGACGAACGAAGTGAGTGAAATGTTTGATAAATTGGATAATTTGGGAAAAGAGCTTACAGCTTGCCAACTTGACGCCAATATGACGATCTCCGATATATCGATTGTTGACGACTTAAACAGAATCAAAAATATTTCCTTGGATGTGGATTCCATAGTAAGAGTTTCTTATTTTTTCTCTTTAGTAATTAAATTTAAATGCGTGTAATTATGGTCGTTTATCTGTTCATCCAACCGATGTTTTGTTCTTCTGTTCGATATATATGTTCGTTTTTATTTTGGTTTTATCCCCACAATATTATCATTATAGAAAAATTTGAGTGTATAGAACTTAAAGATCAAGGAAGTGTCGACTAAATTATTCATCGTTTATTAAATGTAGGAAGAACCAATTGGACTCACAAAGCGTTTCCAAGAATTTTTCGATGTTTCAAATCAACTAGAGGGTGCATTCTGTACAGATATTCATACGTGTGAACAGCTGGATGATGTCGTCAAATTTATTACTGTTTCATTGGTATTTTTTCCATTTGATTTCAACGGACACAGACAGTGATTGAGTAGCTTCATGAATTTTATTCGTAGCATGCAGTAGTTTTCTGAATCTTCGCGTATTATGAATCAGTGGATTGATGGAGATTAAAAAATTCATGCTTTAATTGATTTGAAAGGATTTGATTTTTACTCTTCCTAAAGGAAAGTTACCGAAACTCTGAAACCGAATTTATAAAATAAAATATAGGAGAATGGTAAGAAAGAAGCTGAGCTGATGGTTCGACTTGTTACAATTGCTAACGATCTTACCGCTCATGAAAAAGCTAAAGCAAATGATGTAAGTGAAAGTAATTGCTAAAATTCTTTTCTTCATAATATACAATCTTTCAATTGTCACTGGGACTTTTTGTGTTGTTGTGAATAATAATCGTATCTGAGAACGCTTATGAACAGATTATTCTTTCTGGATCGATTAGACTATTCATTCGATTCCAGAGCATGCCAATGTTCTCTTTTTTGAGAAGGAAATAAATGATATGGTAGTGTCTCTTATATAATTAAACAGCGAATAAAAACTGAATGAATGAATCGCCAAAGAAGCAAGGAAATAAATAAAATCAAATAAGTAAACAAAGTAAGCAATAAGTGAAAAGAATAGGAATAACAAGTGGAAATTTTAAATTAGTGAAGCATTTCATTTTTAGATTCTTTCGAAGCTGAAGCGAATAATGGACAAACGACAAGAACTTCGACGAGTAACAGTGGACGATTGTGTGGAACGATTGTTACTTATTCTAACACAAAAAGAAGACCAACTGGAAACAATTATTGAGCGTGATATTAATGATAAAAATTTGGATGCTTTTGAGACTGATGAAGTCACAAAGTGGATCCCCTGGAAAGAAGAACTTGATCAGGCTAGTGTTTTATTTATCTATCATGGTTTTTAAACTGTCAACCGATTTATCGCAGTCTAAGCCATATATATTCTTTTCAACGAGGGAGGCATGTTTTCCGAGTGCAGTAAAATAGGTTCTAAAAGTCATTGAGCGTTAGATCGTTTTCATAACTCTTTCTGTACGTTCAACATCATGCTACTTCACTATCTAATATTTCTTACTGCACTCGGAAAATATGCCATATTTTGATTCCCCTTTCGCAAAGCTTCATTTTGCTTGTTTAGGTTTGAGTACAAAAACAGTTAAATTATATAATTCATATGTTGCACAAGAGTTTGGAGTTCGTATTTAAAAGATGAAAATCTTTTTAGCTCCAGGGCTTAAATAAATTTCACATTTAGAAAATCTTCCCCTTTTTTCATCAGAGATCAGTGTTTCTAATGAACTGCTTAATTTGGACGTTAGATCGTACTGCTAATTGTTCTTCTGAAGACATGGACGTCCGGAATATAATTTTGCTACCTCTCTTAAATTCACCACATAGCCCTTTTACTGCTACTTTCTCTCATTTTGGAGGTTTACTTTTAAAGCTTTTTTTTACAGCGAAACAAACTTTCCTTCATTATCTCATTTAATTTAAATATTTAGTTAACATTGCTGTTTAAAAACAACAATATCCAAGGACGAGATTCACTTGATGAACTTGTGGAGAAGGCAACCAATTTTGATGCACGAATTACGCGTTTCAAGAACGCATTTGCCAAATCTAAACGTGAACAACGAATATCTGCAAAGCTGGCTGCATTTGCTAAGTGGATTGATTTAATGGAAGAAAATCTTAACCAAGCAGAATCTACGGCTGACGCAATTGAAAGAGCAGAAAAGTTCATTTTGTTGGGTTGCTAGCAAATGATATAGATTAATTTGTTTTTAATGCAGTTGATAGTATTAACAAAAAAAAATATTGTTGATAGTATTAACAAAAAAAAATATTAAGTATTGATTTCGTTGATTTCATCAATTACAAGTGTATTTTTCAGGCTTCGCAATATTCACAAGATCTGTTTATCACATCAGAAAATGGTTGACAAATTGTTAAGTTCCAAACTTAATGCACCACATTCAAATGAAGTTAAATTTCATTGTGATCGGTACTTCGCCTTGCTACAACGAAGTGACTCGCGACACTTACCTGAAGGACAAACAATTTCAACACATTTCATAGATTCACCTTCATCATCTATGCTATCTCAGGTATATTTTAAATCAAAAATTATTTAATAAAGAGTTTAGTTCACCGATAAATAATTTACAGCTGTATGCAGAAAAATCGCTATTTCAGTAAATATTTTCTAATAATGAGGCAACAGTCGGTTCATAAAATCTTGATGGTAAGCGAAAATGTGATAAATGAAGGAGAGCAAAGAAGAAACTTTAGGATTCCAGCAATTGAAGCTTCAGAAATACATGATTTAAATTATGAATAAGGGAAGGCAGACAAATACTATATTTTTGTTTGGTATGAGAAATGTTATGGTTTCAAAATATGACTGATTTAGAGAAAGAATTTTCGGAAACTTTTCAGAGAGTTCAGATCATTTTATTTTTACAGTTTAATCTTGATACATTATCTGCTTCTGGAAGCGATGAAGATGAGAGTCATCTTGCAGAAATCACACCATACGAAGGGACGAGCTCTGCCTATGCTTTAGTAATTTTTCCCTTTTTTCAGATTCTGAATTTTCTAAAACTGTGGATCCAAATTTCCACTTTTCTGAATTTTAACTTCTCATCTTACCCAACTTCCAAATTCTACTGTATTTATAATTCTTTGCGATATCAAAAACCCTTGAATCGCTGTATCGATAATCCTCATTCATAATTATCTGATTATGAAGGCAGAGTAGGAATATAATGTGAATGTAGTTTCTTTTAATTTTCTAACTTGTATAGTTTCTGCTTTCTGGAAATTTTAATATAAATCTGTGGTGTCCAACGCGATACACCACTTTGTTGGGTTAGAACATTGCTATATGGGTTCTAGAAGTTGAAGAAAACCTAGAGTAAAGATAAAGAAGTCGAACGTAGTATTCATTAAACGGAAATTGATGACCTAAATAGCAGCATTCCGATCAATGGTTATAAGATTTAAATTTTTAAATTTGAATACACATAATGAATTCCGTTTTCGATATAAAGTATAACTTAATGAATATTCTTAATAAGTAAGGGAAGTTGGATAAGGAATAACGGCTACCATATTTTTTCCTTTTTTCTTAAAACTTTTGTGCTTACATTATCGATTTCAGACACAACGAGTATTACAAGCAAAAGAACCCCCTGAAATACGACTTTTGTTATCGGACATTGATTCGGAATTGAATGTATTGGCAGATTCATTGAGTACGCTGAGTGCTGATTACGCTCGATCACTGAAACCATTAAGCAGAGCCCAAATCGACGTGGAAAAACTCCAGGTAGTTCTCAATTCTTTTTTGTTTGATTTCTTATATGCTTACAAAGGGCTTTTTAGAAATTATGATTATGCAGTTAAACAAAAAACCCCTGGGAATGAAAGATCCGATGAGCATGCAGATACCAGTATATCAAGAATTTTGCTAAACATTTTTGATGGTTTTTGCATTGGAAGAATAATGTTATATTGTAGGTAAACGAATTCGCTATCCCGGAAATTCATGAGATATATGCTTATGGTTAAAATTAAAAATCTCTGCAAAATTCAGCAGACTAATCTATCCTCTTTTTAAGAAACTCAATGAAAGAAGGTTTCAACTGGACATGGCGTGTGATAATCTTTCTCGTAACGTTTCCGGCGATGATTTAGCCATCATTCGCTCATTAGCGCTACACCTACATTCGCTGGAAGAACCGTTTACGGTTTGTTTTTCTTATGTATAATAAATTTCAAAAATTGCTAGAATCATTTCAATTATAAATTAGTTGAAATCAGAGAGGTGGCATTGAAAATTTAATGGCGTACATCAAAATAATACCGCATTATAATTTCATAGACATTTACGCGAGAACTGCAAAAAGAAATCGACGATGAGATAATGTTACGATCAAATTATGAGGGTATCGCTAAAAAACTCGATCAGCTGAATATCGATATTGACCAGCGCGCTCGAAGTGCAATTCAAGATGTATGTTGATTTATGAAAATATATTTTTTATCTCTGCATGATCTATACCGAGGAATGAAAATGTTTGTACTCTGTCCCTAAGTGATAGCACTAGCATTTCCCTCTTCAAGGTGGCCATCTGTACAGATTTCTACAGGTTAACAAATGTTATTAAACTTTGATTTGAAAATTGGACTTTACCTGAAGAAATCCAAATGCATGTCTGAGTCAGGTCCGAAATCAATTGGAACATGTGCAGTCAGACTTGAATTTATTACGAGTGCAATCTTCGCAACGGCGGAAGTATGTAGAGAACACTTTGGAAAGCGTTTCACCGCACGCAAATCTCAGTAATTGCCCAAGGCGAAAGAAAATTATGCTTATGGTTTCCAGAACTGTAACAACTATAATCCAGGTTAAAAAATTCAAAGCAATACAACTTTTATGATTCAAAAACAAGCTAAAATTTAGTGCAAGGCATATAATATTTAATATGAGCATGCAAGAAGTTTGCGGAAATTATTACACAATATTATAAGTTCATAAGGAATGAAACCAATATTTACAGGTTGTTGAGGACGAATTACAACATTCATCAAGCGTGAAAGAAAATGATCTCTTAGATTTAAAGCAGAAACTGCAAGACGTGAACACCAGCATCGTTGACGAAACCGGTGCAGTGGATAATATAATTCTCAGCAGGACAATGGACACACAGGTCCAGTGCAAAATTCATGTATAAATGTACCTGAAATATTTACTGGCGAGTTTTTCATTATCTAACAGGACATATTTGCAGGAATCGGGAAAATCTGAGAACGAAAAAGAGCAAACGATGATGATGATGATGCAACCTGAGCTTATGCAACTGGAAGAAAAATTATCTTTGGGGAATCAATTGCTAGCAAATGATATAGATTTAAAAAATGATGATAACCTAGAAGATATTGGTGAAAAAGCGAAAAATATTGAAAATTTAGAGCAATTCATGGTTTCAGCAATTGATAAATTGAAAGATTATGATCGTAGTAATATGACCAACGAACAACAGATTAATATGGAACGNATGATGATGATGCAACCTGAGCTTATGCAACTGGAAGAAAAATTATCTTTGGGGAATCAATTGCTAGCAAATGATATAGATTTAAAAAATGATGATAACCTAGAAGATATTGGTGAAAAAGCGAAAAATATTGAAAATTTAGAGCAATTCATGGTTTCAGCAATTGATAAATTGAAAGATTATGATCGTAGTAATATGACCAACGAACAACAGATTAATATGGAACGAATGTTAAATGAAGCAATGTCTCTTGCTGATAAGCTACCTATTTTACGGGAATCTATTGAAGATCATTTGAAATCACGTATTGAAGATGGATTAGAAGATGAAATACGAGTAATTACGGATAAAATCAAACAACTGCTTACTAGCTATTCGAAACCTCAACCGTACCAAACAGCAATCAACGATATAGACATATTGCAACGATTACAGGATCAGATCATGGAATTATTGCAGAAAACGTTAGATAAAGAACAAACTTTACCACAAAACTTATCCAATTATCATTCTGCAATCAATACAATCAAGCAAAAAATTGAAAAAGCTGCCGAAGATGTTAAGGTATTATTAATTTTTATTGAATATATATATATATATATATTTTTTTCAAATTGCTTCATTTTTTTTTTTTTTTTAATATTTTACTACTATTTATTATTTTCTATAAATTTATAATTAGTGAAGAAGCATTTCAGAAATTATTATCATCACTTATCGAAGATGTTTCAACAGAAAAGCAACTCGTTGATACACAAAACGATTTGATGAGCCGATTGAATAAATTGAATGATTGTGCCATGATGATTCGCAATGGATCATATGATGAAACACAAATTCCACGATTAGAAGAATTAAAAAATGAGCTTGGAGAAGTAAATGTTGAATTGAACGAATTGAAGAAAAAGGAAAACAAACCATTGAAACTGTTGCTGCATTCAGATGATTTAAGGATATCATCTGTAATTGATCAGTATGAAAAACTTAATCAACTTCTGAATGAAATCGAAGAGCAATTGATGAATCATGATGCTTTTATGAAATTGCAATCGACAGTTACCAATGAAGCTCAAAAGCTACAAAATATGATTGATGAAGCATATAAAGTTGAAAATGATGTTAACGCAACAGCAAGCGATTTGCATAAGGCAATTGATGATCTCAAAAGTGGTCGATCACATTTGACAGCGTTACAAGATGCATGTGATAAATTGGAAGGGATACCGAATATGGATTCATTATATGAAAAAGCATTTGATGAAATGTCGACACTAAATGAACAATATGACAATGTTGAAAGGAATTTAGAAGATCGACTTGATATGCTGAATGAATTTGATGCAATAGCGGATAATGTAAATAAGCAATTGATGAATCTTGAAGAAAATATGCATAAACTAGAAGTTCCAAGTGCCAGCTGTGAATTATCCGTTGCCGATAAAGGACTCAATGATGTAAATGAATTAAAAGAACCATTGAAAAAATTATCTGAATTGAAGGAACAATTAGCACCATTATTGAAACCTGCTTCTGCAGTTGAAGATTTTAATAATCGTTTATCAGATGTGAACAAAAATTTCCAACAATGGCATGATGAGATTGTGAAAAAGAAGCAAGAATTGGAGGCTGAAAATAATCTGTCAAGTTTGATCAACGATTATAAGCAAACTCTTGCTAAAGCGGAAAATGATTTTGAAAAGCTTGAACCAACAACAAATGCATTGAAGAGTTTCAGAGATATGATTTTGCCAATGGTAGTTGAGAAATCTGATCGTATCAGAGATCTAATATTACCGGTAAAAACTGAAAACATTGAGCAGCTTTATCATAATGCCGACATGCTAACAGATCGATATAATAATTTATCAACACGTGTGAATGATAAATTAAATCACACAAAAGAACAAGAGAATCTATTTGATGAGATTCAACAAAAGCTTAATAATGTGGAACAAAAAGCTGATGATTTTCTCAACAAATATATCACTCCACAAGATTTATTAATTGCCATAGAAGACGTCAATCAATTACATTCTCTTCTGGATCAAATTCCATCATCAACAACAATGGACAATATCACTGAACATAGACTTAAAGAGAATTTAGTGAAGAAAGCAGATACTATAAAGAACAAAATCAAAAATTTACTTACCCCTCTCGAAAAAGATACACGAAAAGAGGAAGAATTGATGCACGATTTGCATGAAATATTATGTGCATTAACCGCAATTGGTGATGATATTATTGCAGTTGATCCCATTACTGAACCATCACAACAATTGGAGAGCATTAATCAATTAGCCGAAAATTTGCGAAAACTCAAAGGGAAAGTTGAAAAGCTAGAAGGAAAGTTACAAAGTTCAGAAGGGTTGGTTAAACATGCATTAGTAACTGATGATCTATTTGGTCGTGTTGTACAGTTACAAGATGCACTTGATGAGAAGAAAAGAAAATTAACGGATCGTGCCAAATTATATGCTATAACTCCGGAGATAAATTTGATCAACGAAAGTGTGCAAAATTGTGTTAATGAAATGGGACAAATACCGATGCAAACAGTTGAGGAACAAAATGTTGCATTAAATGAGCTAGAGGGAAAGAAACATCAACTTGAAAATCTGCTGGAAAATATTCCTCAGGATGATGAAGGTAATGAGTTACGTGAGAAGGGTAATTGGTTACTGGGACAACTCAATGATATATTAAAACGATTAGGTGATGCAGTTGGAGAAAAGCTTGCAGCATTAGCGGCATTCAATGCAATCAAAGATGAAATTGAAACACAATTCTCATCATTACAAGCTAGACCAATATCAATTTCTGATGATATTACCGTATCTGAACTTGATAATCGGCTACATGATATAAATGTAAGTTTTTGTTGTTATTGTTGCTATTTTTTTTTTTAGCTTTCAAATATTTTTTTCCTTTTTTTACCATTATCATTTTTTTTAACATTTATGCTCACTATTTTTCCTTTAGGATAAATTTGCTAGTTTGGAAAGGCTTAAAAATAAGATCGATGATGCTGATGAAAAGAATCTTGATGCAGATAAAATTGCTGAAAAACAGAACCTTCTTCATGCAATCGAAGAAGCTTTGGAACTTCTAAAGGTGAAAATTTAATGATAATTTTTGTGTAAAAAATTACTGAAATTGATTCATTCTTATTTGATTTATTGTATTTATTTGATTGCAGAATGAACGAAAAACAATAGAGAGGAAAATTAGTGATGTGCATGCCGCAGAAAAAATGCATGAAGATGGCAATCAATTGTATGACGAATTGAATGCTTTGATTAAGGAAGGTCGAGAAGCGCTAAATGATGCTGAAGCAATTCCAACCATATACGCTACTCTATCGGAAGCATTCATACGCCCTCTTGAAGCGGCAACAGAATTGCTCAAGATAATGCCAAAAAATGATGAAATAGCTATATATTTAAAATCAACTGTTAAAGATGCAAAAGTACTCCAAGACAATTTGTCACATCATGCCAATCTATGGTCACAGTTTGTTGATGAACGAGATAATGCAACAGATCAGCTTGAAATAAAACGGAAACCACTTGATGAGATTGGAAATAAGCATATTAGATCGTGTGAAGAAGTGATTGATGATCTGGACAAACTTACGGTTTGTATGAAAATTTTCATCTTATAAATTATCAAATTATTTAGCTTTCTTTTTCATAATCATTTAAGTCATTTTACAAATTATTTAGCTTTCTTTTTCACAATCATTTAAGTCATTCACAATCATTTTATATTGATTTCAGAAAGCAGTTGAAGAATTGAATGAATTGCGTAATGTGATGTCAAAATTAGAAAACCTTTGCCAACAATTAGATCCGTTGGAAACTGCATACGCTGATGTTCGTTTTTACGATGTGGATGTTGAGCAAACACAACGGCAATATCAAAATCTCATAACATTGATGAATAACGAAGTATACGACGAAAAAAATCAGAATGAATCTATTAAACAATTGGCTGGAGAATTAGAATATCTTAATGATAGGCTTTTGATGGAACCGACGATTGTTCGTGAACAGCTTGAAGAGGTTATTTAATATATTTCTAGCAAAAAATTTCCATCTTTAATTTTATTATCCCTTTGAAGTAGTATATATATATTTTTTTAATTTAAAAATAACTATTTTTGTTTTTCATTTCAGATATTAAACAATCAGTTGCCATCGTTGCAAACTCGTTTGCAGTTTCTTCAAACAAAAGATGATGAAGCAAAACGAACTCGTATCCATGTTGATCGTGTGTCTCAGCCATCACTTGAAACATTAGCAGAACAATTGAATCGTATTTGCTTGCTTGTTAACGAGAAACTGAATAATCTTACAAAAGCAGAAATGGACGAAAAGGCAGTGATAGTTAGGATGGAGTTAGAAAAACTCCGTACCGAACCATATGATGAAGAGGATTTGGTGAAGGTTGAAGAACAAATAAAGCAGCTTCCTTTAGAAGAGAATACGGAAATGTTGACTGCAGAATTAAAGAAATTGCAAGCGAATAAAGCGATGCGTGATGCAATAGAAATGAAATTAGCCGAATTACTCAACCGCATGAATGTGATACGGACAAACTTGAGTCCAATTATGGAAGAGGAAAAATCGGAAAAAGGGAAGATGAAAAAGGATAAAAAAGCATTGCCTGAAATTGATGAACAGATTAATGCATTGGAGTTAGCATTAAATGAAACAGTTAATGAAATTTTACCATCGATGAATGAGCTTATTTCTCAAACACATCAAGGGAACGTCAATTTTCCATCTCTTCAATCTGAACTTGAAAATACACAAAAATTCGCTGAAAAATGCGAGGTAAATTTGCTTTCTTACATTAAAATAGGCAACATGAATGAAAAATTTTTTCTTACATTTTATAATATCATCATTTTTATAGTGATCAATTGTTCATTTAATATTCATTAATCATTAATAAGATTATCTTTTGCAGAGAAAGTTGGATGACAAGATAGCGGAAAAAGAACAAATAATGATGATGATGCAACCTGAGCTTATGCAACTGGAAGAAAAATTATCTTTGGGGAATCAATTGCTAGCAAATGATATAGATTTAAAAAATGATGATAACCTAGAAGATATTGGTGAAAAAGCGAAAAATATTGAAAATTTAGAGCAATTCATGGTTTCAGCAATTGATAAATTGAAAGATTATGATCGTAGTAATATGACCAACGAACAACAGATTAATATGGAACGAATGTTAAATGAAGCAATGTCTCTTGCTGATAAGCTACCTATTTTACGGGAATCTATTGAAGATCATTTGAAATCACGTATTGAAGATGGATTAGAAGATGAAATACGAGTAATTACGGATAAAATCAAACAACTGCTTACTAGCTATTCGAAACCTCAACCGTACCAAACAGCAATCAACGATATAGACATATTGCAACGATTACAGGATCAGATCATGGAATTATTGCAGAAAACGTTAGATAAAGAACAAACTTTACCACAAAACTTATCCAATTATCATTCTGCAATCAATACAATCAAGCAAAAAATTGAAAAAGCTGCCGAAGATGTTAAGGTATTATTAATTTTTATTGAATATATATATATATATATATTTTTTTCAAATTGCTTCATTTTTTTTTTTTTTTTAATATTTTACTACTATTTATTATTTTCTATAAATTTATAATTAGTGAAGAAGCATTTCAGAAATTATTATCATCACTTATCGAAGATGTTTCAACAGAAAAGCAACTCGTTGATACACAAAACGATTTGATGAGCCGATTGAATAAATTGAATGATTGTGCCATGATGATTCGCAATGGATCATATGATGAAACACAAATTCCACGATTAGAAGAATTAAAAAATGAGCTTGGAGAAGTAAATGTTGAATTGAACGAATTGAAGAAAAAGGAAAACAAACCATTGAAACTGTTGCTGCATTCAGATGATTTAAGGATATCATCTGTAATTGATCAGTATGAAAAACTTAATCAACTTCTGAATGAAATCGAAGAGCAATTGATGAATCATGATGCTTTTATGAAATTGCAATCGACAGTTACCAATGAAGCTCAAAAGCTACAAAATATGATTGATGAAGCATATAAAGTTGAAAATGATGTTAACGCAACAGCAAGCGATTTGCATAAGGCAATTGATGATCTCAAAAGTGGTCGATCACATTTGACAGCGTTACAAGATGCATGTGATAAATTGGAAGGGATACCGAATATGGATTCATTATATGAAAAAGCATTTGATGAAATGTCGACACTAAATGAACAATATGACAATGTTGAAAGGAATTTAGAAGATCGACTTGATATGCTGAATGAATTTGATGCAATAGCGGATAATGTAAATAAGCAATTGATGAATCTTGAAGAAAATATGCATAAACTAGAAGTTCCAAGTGCCAGCTGTGAATTATCCGTTGCCGATAAAGGACTCAATGATGTAAATGAATTAAAAGAACCATTGAAAAAATTATCTGAATTGAAGGAACAATTAGCACCATTATTGAAACCTGCTTCTGCAGTTGAAGATTTTAATAATCGTTTATCAGATGTGAACAAAAATTTCCAACAATGGCATGATGAGATTGTGAAAAAGAAGCAAGAATTGGAGGCTGAAAATAATCTGTCAAGTTTGATCAACGATTATAAGCAAACTCTTGCTAAAGCGGAAAATGATTTTGAAAAGCTTGAACCAACAACAAATGCATTGAAGAGTTTCAGAGATATGATTTTGCCAATGGTAGTTGAGAAATCTGATCGTATCAGAGATCTAATATTACCGGTAAAAACTGAAAACATTGAGCAGCTTTATCATAATGCCGACATGCTAACAGATCGATATAATAATTTATCAACACGTGTGAATGATAAATTAAATCACACAAAAGAACAAGAGAATCTATTTGATGAGATTCAACAAAAGCTTAATAATGTGGAACAAAAAGCTGATGATTTTCTCAACAAATATATCACTCCACAAGATTTATTAATTGCCATAGAAGACGTCAATCAATTACATTCTCTTCTGGATCAAATTCCATCATCAACAACAATGGACAATATCACTGAACATAGACTTAAAGAGAATTTAGTGAAGAAAGCAGATACTATAAAGAACAAAATCAAAAATTTACTTACCCCTCTCGAAAAAGATACACGAAAAGAGGAAGAATTGATGCACGATTTGCATGAAATATTATGTGCATTAACCGCAATTGGTGATGATATTATTGCAGTTGATCCCATTACTGAACCATCACAACAATTGGAGAGCATTAATCAATTAGCCGAAAATTTGCGAAAACTCAAAGGGAAAGTTGAAAAGCTAGAAGGAAAGTTACAAAGTTCAGAAGGGTTGGTTAAACATGCATTAGTAACTGATGATCTATTTGGTCGTGTTGTACAGTTACAAGATGCACTTGATGAGAAGAAAAGAAAATTAACGGATCGTGCCAAATTATATGCTATAACTCCGGAGATAAATTTGATCAACGAAAGTGTGCAAAATTGTGTTAATGAAATGGGACAAATACCGATGCAAACAGTTGAGGAACAAAATGTTGCATTAAATGAGCTAGAGGGAAAGAAACATCAACTTGAAAATCTGCTGGAAAATATTCCTCAGGATGATGAAGGTAATGAGTTACGTGAGAAGGGTAATTGGTTACTGGGACAACTCAATGATATATTAAAACGATTAGGTGATGCAGTTGGAGAAAAGCTTGCAGCATTAGCGGCATTCAATGCAATCAAAGATGAAATTGAAACACAATTCTCATCATTACAAGCTAGACCAATATCAATTTCTGATGATATTACCGTATCTGAACTTGATAATCGGCTACATGATATAAATGTAAGTCTCTTTTGTATAATGAGCTTTCAGTATTAATGCGCTAGTCAGAACCAGTTGATCCAAGCGAACATTGAGAAAGTTGTTATTTAGTTTTGTTCGTGGTTCCTTTTTTTCTTTTTTCATTCAGATGATTCAATTTTTATAGGTCGAGACGAGAAAACTACAAAAGTTGAAGGAAAAAATTTTGCATGCGAATGTTTCTGAACTTGACAGAGAGCAGTGTGATGAAAAGAATGTCCTATTGTCAAAAATTGATGAGCTTTTGCGACGTGCACTGGTACCTTTAATTTTTATCAACCAAGTTATTGAAAGAATTTTGATATTTGTCCTTAGTTTGTATCTGCTTCTTAATGACGGTTTTACGATTTGCTTTCCTTTTTTAGGAATATGTGGAGGTATCATTAGGTTTTGCAATATAAGTTATGAGACTTCATGAAATATGCTGTAGGAGATTCAAGGGAACAAATAGCGCTGTTCTTGAGATTGAGGGAACACTTAGGATGCAGTTTTTCAAATGTGCTCTATGCCAAATAAGACACTTATAAATTAAGCTGGAAACAATGCTCTTATTGTACCAGCTGATTGTTAAACTAAACGTAAGTAGCTATTTTTCGTCCCCTTATATTCATGCGTTTTATTAATTAATTATAGTGGGTTGTGCTGGTCGTTTTTCTCCCACTGAGTTTTATGTTTGTAAAACTTAACAATTTCGTCTTTGAAAAAGAAGTGAAATATCTCACAATATGCGCTTTTTTATGCATTAGAATTTTAATACATAAAAATTTTATGACCGATGGAGTGGACATTATTCCTGTTTTCGTTTTGGTTTTTTATTTATTCTTTTTTACTTAAGCATTTAATGCGTCACTCTGTTGTGTTGAAACAAGTGAGATGAGTGAGGTTTTTGCTATCACTACTATTTTCGTTATAATCATTTTTAGCAAATAAATTTCAGAAGGAACATGAATATTTTGGCGAAAAGCGTACCCAGTTACTCACTCATGAAAAAACATGTATCGATTGTAAGGCATTATACGATGAGTTGGAAAAATTGGTAAAGGATGGTCAGAAGTTATTGAGCGATTCAGAAGCTCTACCAATGTCCTATGGTTTCATCTCGGATGCATTGACTCCTCTTATTGAAGCAGCAGTCAATTTGCGCATCAATGAACCGAAAATCGAACAATCACATGAGCCAATTTTTAAACAGTTATGGGAACTAGTTGACAAAGCCAAAGATGTGCAAACACAATTGATTCAAAGACTAAATATGTGGGAACAGTTTGTAAAAGAACGTGACTCAGCAGCAGATGAATTGAACGATATACGCAGGCAAATATGTGAAATTGAAGGACGAGGAATGAGGAAATTTGATAAAATGCTTGATGATTTGGAAGCTTTGAAGGTTTTTTTTCATATGATTAATTTGACTTAATCATTATGCGGGTTATCTAATTTTAAATTTCCTATGTCTATTACTTTTTTCCTGAATGTTTGATATTAAATTGATATGTTTCTGCTTTTTTTGCTGGTATTTTTTTTTTTGTTTGGGTGGTACGTTACTTTGAAAGATCAAGAATTCTACTTCTACCCAATCAGCTTGCAGTGGTGGTCTGTGAAAAACTTTTCATGTTGTGCGTATCGTAATTGTTTTCCTTACTGTGGTCTTTTAGTCGTGAACCAATTTCTTCTTTAACCACCAAAAAGTACTTCATTTATTGTTCTCTACGGCAGTATTAACTTACGTTTTTGCTATATACGGCACTGTTTCAGGTTTTCTACCTAAGGTGGCCGTTCCTTGCAAACCTGACATCACGATTACTGTCTCTTAGCTCACAGCTTCATCCATTAGCTTGTGCCCAACAAGAGGGAAAAGCATTTGCTGAAGAAGCAAGTGAGCTTGAGGAAAAAATCGAGGTTTTTTTTGTTATGCTTTTTGATGATTGATTTGCTAGCTTTATATAAAATCATGAGAGCCGAATTGAACCTTTTTATAATTCTATCACATTGAAATCCAGATCAGCTTTTGAATAAATGATAAATTAGAGGGAACTTTAATTTACCAATTATTATATGGATGGATCGAGTTGTTTTCAGAAATTTGTGTTAATGATTTGAAAACATTCTATGCTTTAGAATTTGTTGGATTCCATGTCTTCCGAATTCAGAATAAGAGAGGAAATTGTGCATTCATTACTCGCAATATCAGATGAACTCGACGATATCAAAAATGTACTCAATGATCAAAATATATCAGCCCGTTTACAAAAGGTGTTTTTTTCTGTGAAAAAACGTTTTTGAAAGTGGGATTCTTCTAATTAAATAATTATCGATGTAAGATTAGTAAATCAGTAGAAATACAGCTCGATTTGTTAGGTTTAGCCTTAAGTTTGTGGCATACTGGTTATGGTGTGACGTATTTTGTACCATATATGGATTATATATTTTGGATTATACTTATATGTTTTTTTACATGGATTATACATATATATATTTACCATGTATGGATTTCTAAAACATCCTTTAATTATACTTTGATACCTGTCCATTTATTTACTGAATATCGGAATAATTGCTTTGTTTATGAAACAAAGTTTATCCATTTTAGGAATTACAACAACAGTTGAAAGGTATTCGGACACATTTAAACACATTGGATCAAGATATCGCCAATTATAACGATAATAGAATCTTTTTGAATGAAGACGAGGAAATTGCAACAAGACGTAGTTTTGAACAATTAGAAGAAATTGAAGAAAAACTAAGGCGAATGGAGCTTACAGACACTGAAGAATACGATATCGATGCTGCAGCAGAAGTACTGGCAGCAGTATATCCGGATGACCATCCACGGGATGTACTGCGTGAACAGGGCATTCCATTTGATGATGATTTGTATGATCTTAATCCTAGTTCTGCTACCAGTGACGATGATAACAGAAACAAATTTAAAACACCATCCGATGATGAAGTATGTATTATGTTTTGTAAAACTTTCGCTGTCTGATTAACTTAACCTACATATCACAGTTAGTTTCTGTATGAACGTGAAATCTATCATTTGTTGAGATATTCTTTTCAAAAAAGTGATCGTGATGAAAAAATACTAAGCTTGACTCATGTGTCCAGCACGCACTTTGAGGAAAATCGCAGAGCAGGATACATTAAAATGGGATTTTGTTTTGTCTTTAACTAATACTCATAATATCAAAAGTAGTTGTTGAGATTAGATTGAGAACCTTATACCCTTAGAAGATTTTAGAATTCTTATTAACTCTTTCTAATGAAGCGACTGCTTACCAAGTAAATTTTAGGTAATGTTAGGGGAAAGCGAGGGAGAAGATACCGTTGAAGTGCATCCACCACATGATGTATTCTCACCAATTCCTGATGATCCAAGTCCGGGACGTATACATTACGAACAACAACGTTCTCGTTGGAAGCGTATCCTTCGTACTGCATTACCTCTCCAGGTTCGTTTTTCACAACTGTGAAGCGGAAAACTTTAGAAATATATAGTTTATTTTTAAACCAGTTTTCAAGATAATTCATATAGATACCTCAAGCAGTCAGACACAAATCTTATATGGTTAGTATTGCTACCCCATATCGTAGAATTTTTGCAGGCTATGCTTGTGTTACTTCTTGGTGCAGCATGTCTTGTACCACATTGTGATGATGAAAGTTGTTGCCAGTTGCTCAATAATTTTGCGCGAAGCTTTGACCCGTCATTGGAATTTTTGAATGGACCGCCACCTTTTTAATGCATATATGTTGCACATACATTCACTGTTATGGCTAATATTCTGTTGAAAAAAGAAACTGAATATTTCGCTTTGTTTTAATTTTTTGTTGTCGATTTATAGAAAACATTTGAAGAGGAAAGATTTATTTGTTTTAGAGGTTATGTTATAATTTTTGCAAACTTTCCCCTTTTATCTTGTTTAAAAATAAATACCGATCAAATTAATAATGCTGTGGCAGTTCAAATGAACCACCGAGTAACATCAATTATCGCAAAAAAGTCAAGTACTGCGACCATTCTTTAAATGTCGCAGCATAATGAAGACATAAACTTCAATTTTTCGAGAATTTTCTCCCATCGGTAATTTTTTCTTGCATCGTTCTTTTGCCCTATCATTCTACACTCGATCCCTCTCCAACGCAGTATAAATGTTCTCATTCACGATTACCGTTGCATAACATACAGGGTTGAGTTTTTTACTAACTCTATCGATAACACACAACAAAAATATAATTTCCTTGTAAGCAATACAGCAGCACCAAAGGAAGTAATAAAACATATCATGTATTTGAAAAATTCAAACAATAGCTATTTCCCTAAAAAATTTTGGAAACAAAATAACTGCAAAACACATTGAAAAATTAATGAAAATGCTGCGATCAGAATAAACGTAATGCAATAATGATATTATGAATTCATTGCTAACTTTGACAAGGCATAGCATACTTCAGGGATACTACTCTGAACTGAGAAGTTATGGATTTAAGTTAAAAAAATAGAACCTAGTTAGAAAATTCAGAGGCAACTGGGCAAAAGCTGAAGAGAAGTAACAAATTATATATATTATGGTTAATAATTTCATTTGTATAATTAATTATAAAACCAAAACAAATTGATTACATGAATTTGTCTAAATAAATTTTGTAAAAAATTTAATGAATTCAAATTATGTTATAATAATCAAACAGAACTTTTCGGCCCAAAAAAGCGGGGAAGATTCATTTAGAATAAGAATAACTTCACAGTAATAGAAAGAATTGATCTCCGAAATGCAATTCCTGATTTTTATCAAATGATATATGCCGAAAAATTCCTTCAAAAACACTTCTCATTTCTAAATGAGAGAAAAATAACTGATTTCCGAACATCCTTATTGATTATTGCTTTTTAATAACAAATCTATTATCATTCCATTCCATAAATTTCAGCCTACTATAGTGCACACACATTCTAAACCAATAAGTATGATTTTAAAAATAGGTGAAAGTTGGTAAAAGCAAATAAATATGTTAAAAGCTGGCAACAAATAAAACTATTTCAAGAAATTTCATTTCAATTAAAATTATAGTGAAAAAAAAAATCGTATAGTTCGGAAATTTATGAATTCATACAAATAAATACATTGTGAAGTGAATCAGAAGGCATAAACAATTAGGTATTTTTTCATTTATTCATTTTCAATGTAATTCTTTGCAAAAATTGTAAATATTTAAGATTCATTAGCACGCTGGGTACGTTCAATTTCGAGTTCGCATATGATTGACGTCGTTTTCAAATCTAAATTTCCGATAGCTGAACGTAATTCCAACAATTGCGCTCGATCGTAACGCTGTTTGCTTATATTTATTTCTGTCACAATGTTACTACCGGCTGTGGCGCTATTTAACTGAGTTAAATTCGGAGTGCTACCTGTTTTACCAGAAGAACGCCATTGCACATTGCTAGTAGTAGCTACTGGTGAAACATCAGAGCTAAAAATTAAAGATATTGAAGAAGGATTATAAAAATTAGTAATGAAAATTTATAGCTAAAAATTTAATCTTGAAAATTTTGAATTCTTTTTTTGAGCTTCTCAATATAACTGATGACAATTTCATAAGAGATTGGTTAAGAATTCCTTGTATTTCAGTTGCTAACGTGAAGATAATTTGGTAATTTAAACGAACTCGTTAATTATTGAATTATTTGTGATAATTCAGAATTTATTTCATATAAATTACAAGTGAATAGAAGCAGGAAGAATAGTTCATTTGTCAGCAAAATATTCAGACAGTTTCTGCTTTTATTCATCTACTTGTAAATCGAAAAATAATTTCTGCTAATAACAAACTTAGCAATTTGACGATTCGATGATGATTGTAGCGGCATTGATTTTCTTCTTTCTTTACGTTGTTCACGTTCTTCAGCTGATATTCGCGAATGATTTCGGCCAACTCTTGTTAAATATTCACTTAGAGCTGCTTGCGCCGCCTGCAGTATTATAACTAAAAAATACGTAAAAAAACGTTGGATGGCTCTCAGTTTCAATCACTATTAAAAAGTTTAATAAAAAAAATAACCTGAAGCACTTGCGGATCGGCACATGACAGTTTTAGAGTGCCATCTTGCGTTGTTTCGATTGATATTCCAACATCATCATCATAGTTGTCATCAATTTCTGCATCATTTGTTTCAGTCTAAGATGAAATTTCTGTCATTATCTTCCGTAAGAAAATGATGATTAAAAAATTGATAATGTCAAGAAGATATTGAACTTTTCAAACGAATTAATCTAACAATAGAACGACAAGTATAATTCAAATCAAAAAACGAAAGAGAGGAATGAATTTAGAAATTCGCATATTTTTGATCAACAAAATATTTAAAATAAGTAAATTTAAAATAAGTAAAAATATCATTTCTATTAATTTAAACAAAATTAAAAGATATGGAAATCTACCTTTCAAAAATAAATGAGTAATTACGAACGATAAAAGAAAACTAGCAAATATTTTCAGGAGATCTATAAATGGCAGTTTTTTTTGAAAATACAGAAAAAGAAATAAACAAAAATTGTTACTCGATTGGGCGAAACATTACGACGAATTGTCTGTTCGATGAGACGTTTCGCATAATCAATCGATTCCTGATTACCACCAGTTATTGTCAATGTACGATCCTTGCATTTGGAATCAACTTTTTGAAACGATATTATCGTTTTGCTCAATTCTTCCACTACTGCTACACGGCGTCCTTTTACACCCATTACTGAATCATTACTGAATGATTACAATTTAAATTAAACATTCTAGCTTGAAGACTTGTACGAGCTTCATTTTTTTAATGATATTGAAGAAAATAAAGTATTACAAATAATATTGAAATGTAATTTAGTAATTCAATTACACCGACCTCTATCGAACAGAATAGTAAAAATTTGGAATCACAATTTTTACAGGAAAACAAAAGTTTTTTTTTGGGTTATGATAAAGTTAACATCCAATTAAAATTTAACTTTTTGATAAGACTAACTTTTGCCAGAATCACTGTTGCGTATTATCATTTCCTCGCGTAATTGCGGAACACGGCTTTGAGGTGTTTTTACTTTCAGTTTTGTCTGTTGCAATTGTTTGTTAGCTTTAGCCCAAGCTTCTACGTCTATTGGTGTTAATTGAGGCAAAATATTACCGGATGGTACAACTCCAGGAGCTATTATCGGTCGAGCCCATCCACCTAGACATAAAATGATACTCGAAAAGCAAACTTCCTTTCTTCTATTTTCTGTTCTTCTTAAGTTAATGTCCATTATTACCTGTTATCTTGGTGACATTTCGAATTATCAGTGACAAATAAGCAATCAAATTGAACTATGTCCTAAAATACTACCAATTATAATTAATTCAGAAATTTCCTTAACTCGGTTACTCATTAAATTATTACCAGTGTGAAAAGATAAATGAAATTTCAATGGATTAAATTCAAATAAATTAAAAGGATGCTAATTTTCAAGGAGTAAATACAAAAAACAAACTGGCAGCAGCAGCTGGTATTAGGTAGAAACTAGCTGGTGTAGGTTGTGGAGCGATTACTGGACTGTTTACATCACCACCAACATAAAGTGGTGGTGGAGGACCGGCAAAATTACCAAACGGATTTACCGGAATTGTACCAAAAGGTGGAGCACTTACCGGTGTCGAATCTGCAAAATAATTAGTGAGAATATCAAACAAATAAACATAAGAAATACTAGATAGTAAAATATACATGAATAGATAGAAATTTTATCTAACTAATGTATCCAATGATAGCTCTACCATTAATAACGATAATCTTCATTTGAAGAAACAAAACTACTGTTCTCTCCATTTATTACTATTCATTAAAAATTTTATTTTTTACTAACATCATATTGTAATCGTTAATGATGTAATTAAGTCACAATCTGCAATAATTCATGATCGTATGCTAATCATTCTCTTGAAAACATGATAGATATCGTCGTAAAAATTATGAATGAAACAATCTAGTACTCAATATTGTTAATCAATAAACTGATTAATTAATGATACCGATCTGTTGTTGCTGATGTTGTTGTTCAGGACGATTAAGATAGTATTGCGTATGTGCTAGGCTTGGTCTCCAACCCATTGCACGTAATTCCACCAATTCCATCATTTTAAGACGACATGGTGTTCCAAGTTGACCATTATCACGACAGCAAGCTTGTCGCAAAGATACGAAAACTCGATTCAGTTCATCTGTAAAAGTTATACTTTTCAAATATAGGAAAAAATGGACATGGGTTATAAAGCTAATCCAACAATATCAGTTGTATTATTACGGCTATATTATCATTATTAAATTTCTTCATTATCATTACTTCCATTCACTCTTCTATTGTTTCCTTCAGTGCTTCTAAATAAAATCGATATTTTACTTATCCATATGTTATCTATGAAGAGAATAATGAAACTTTTTAAAAAATTAATCACAAAAGGAAAACAAACTTTTATGAGATTGCTCAAGAAGTTGTCCAGAAAATTTTAGCTGTTGACAGAGAAGAAAAATTTGATTAGCAAGCTGAGCGTTAAATAATCCACCTTTCACCGATGTATTTATTTGATTCATCAAACTGAGCAGTTGCTCTAAAAATTGATTGTATTTCAAAAAGGTATGTGATATAAAGAAGAATCTTTGAAAAACTATGATGATACTGTAGTATTTAAGGAAAGAAAAACCATAGTGATACTTTTATTTTTT